GGGGGGGGTGATACAGTTTTGGGGGACAACAAATGTTAATAGACAAAGGGAAGAAAAAACACTGCCCCAAACCTTTCAGTAATACTTCAGAATCTGTACTTTCTGAAATGTTAGATAAAAGGGGTATGAAGAAAGGAAAAAAGAATAAAACCACCACCCAACAGACCCACCAAAACACCTCCAGCATTACTATGACATCACTGAGATGGAATGGCAATGGCCGAACTGTTAGCCTTGCCATGCTGGACAAAGCTTTTGTCCCAAGAAAGAACACCTGTTTGCAAAGTGATTCAGACACCTGCATCCCTGCACCATACCACAGCTGTGTCAGTATTCTGCACCTGCACCAGCAGCACCTGCAGCCCACAGCACCATATCTGTGCACAAGAGTTAAGAGAACATACCCATGCCTTCACACCTCCGTCTCTAGGGGGCAATCAGGCTGAAACGCACATGCACAAAATGCGTCAAAATTCATTTCATAGCTACAGACAACATCCCAATACAACCTACCAACATCTTGGGTTACTTTTAGGCCAGTTATCGACCACCAATGTTGCTGTAATAGTAGTATACACAAATGCATATCAAGCTGGTATTAGCAGCAGTGCTAACATATATGACAGCAAGTCCCCTCAGCCACTATGTTCTGCTATGGAATAGTATTATCCTTTATGCAACAGGAAGTGAGTTTGTGCGTATAACCTACAATATATATTATACATGTACATATAGATGGCAAACATAGTACAAGCACAGAGTGCAAGCAGTCTGCTATAACCGGGAGATATATGTATACAACTTGAGGATACTACTGTGTTGCAGTTGAACAGAGTAAGCTCTTATGAGAAGACCAAATTGTTCCTTCTGCTCAGGTAGGGTCTGTAGGTGAAAGTTTGTCAAAGGTTTTGTTTTAAAGGGAAAATTGTTACCTTTCCTGAGCTGTGTGATAGGTACCAATGTGATAAGGCCATATTTGGTGTGATAAGATAATATAATTCGCAGTTTTGTAGAGTGTACTTTGAAAATAATGTTTGCAATTGTGCTTTCTGTCTTGAAATTTTGAATACTCTGGTGGAACATTGTTTATGTTTAACAAAATGTGTCAAAGCACCTTTGATATTTTCAAACTTGACAGTATAATATAAGTTTCATCTGTTAGCTTTGTGTCCCCTGCAACTGCTACAGTGTATTTCCTCAGTGCTATAGTTGTTCCCATGTTAGTAACTGATGAGAAGCAGCACTAGTGTTAGCGCAGTCTCATCATGCTTCATCCTCCTCCTCCTCATCATCATCACCACCATCCACCACGCCCCCACCACTACTTCCAAAAGCAGGTGGGTCCTTCCCCTCAGTTAGGCTGACCTGCTTCTTCAGTGCCTGTGTGGACTGGTACTCAATCCTGCCCATCTGTGTCTCCACCCACTCAGGCATGTCTGGGATTGCAAAGGCCAGCACAACCTTGATGAAAATGATCAGATGCTGAAAAGAAAAAAAGATACATTGTGAGGAGCAATAATAAAAGTACATCAAATTTCATGTGTTATGCTATGTCAGATTTGGTTAAAAGACCAAATATGCGCTGCATGAGCAAAGACACAAATGTGCAAACTGAGGATCGTGAGGAACCTCACGCCATGCATTTCTACCCCGTGTATGTACCTCTTGATGTACTTCTTGAAGAACTGAATATTCCTGAACTTTATGTTTGGTAGGTACAACCATTTACTAGTAATTTCCTTAAAGAACAAGTAGCAGCACTGTGTGACCAAAGGTAACCACTTATAGTTGAGTGAATGCCCATATACCTCTGCAGCCACGAATATCAGCACCTTCTGCACAGTTGTGTACCCCTCCAGGAGTGGCTGTATCTCAGGTGACATGCCGATCAGGGCTGTATTAGTCATCACAGCTATGAACCCCATCACCTCAAACACCATCTGAAATACAAGGATAACATTCATCAGCAGTATTTCAATTGTTAACATTGCAAGTCATAACAAATTGATATCTTGTTAGTCTTTCAGGGTTACAGTAATGAAATTTTCCTAACATTTTTTTCAGCTTTTGAAGTCATCTGACCAAACACTGATATGTTTATTCCCTGTAGTGATGCTTCAGCAATACATAGTTGTTCCAAACGTGTCCGTGGTTCAAATGATGGCAAATTCAGCACCAAGGACAGCAATTTGTATTGTCAACTTGTCAACATGGACAAACATATTTAGATTCTTACAAAAAGTAGCGTACCTGCCATGCACCAATGTTTGCAGCAGGCTCCATGAAGGGTCGCTGGAAGATACGACACATCTTGAAGGCATCAGTGCGGATCTCCATGACGTTGTTAGCTAGGGCCCAGAATGCTGCCATGGGGTACACAGCTGAAAACAAGAACACGTACCCAAACTGCCAAAACAGCTCCAGATAGTCATCAAAAGTGCCCTGGAAAAGATAAGAAGAAACCATTCTGATGTGAAGCACAATTTTTTTCAAACGTCCAAAGATTTATGGCCTTGATAAGGTTAAAAAGCCGGATGATACTTCATAAAAGACCACTTGTACTGATGGGTAGCATCTCCCCTGCAAAGGACTGAAGAAAAGTTACCCTTTATGATTACTTTACCAGTAGTTCATTTTTCAAAGGACAAAAGCTAGCATGACAACTGTTAGTTTTTCCTAATATACACCAGTGAATCACCTCATATCTGTCCATCAGACTCTCCACTTCAGCTTGCTTGGACCTTGGGATTTCGTGGAGGGGTTTGGATACATGGTCCAGCCCAGACTTTTCCCCCTTCTTGATCCTCTTCCTCATGAGCAGGTAAGGCAGCAGAGTCTCCTGTAGCTGTCCCACCAGCTGCTGTACAATCAGTAGGATAGCCAGGCTCTGTGGAAAAGGAACAGCAGTCCTGTCAACTTAAGGGTATCACATTTACTGTTATATGATCTTTATACATGATGTAAAAGAGTATACTGTGAGAATGCAACATAAAGAAAGGAGTCACATGTACAGCACAAGAGGGTTTCACTGCTGCCATTGTTACAGCATTAAGGTGGACAGTATATTGCTGCCATTCTTATACTGTAGAACTTACCTGTCTGAGGTAGTTCATATCCTGCATGACAAAGGCAATGTAGAACAGGCACAGGAAACAGTTCACAAAGTCAAACTGTAAAGAGAAACAGTGCCACAAACCATTAAAACCACTGTCACATATGTCCCTGACCAATTTCTCAAATGTGACCGATCAGAAACATTCAAATTCAGCAAGACAAAATTCCAACCTACCAAGACTAGTTTTACAATAAGGTAGTTCTCATAAGCTGACTGCTCTCTGTGGTTTTCTGGAAAATAAGAAAACATCAAAGATAAGAACAATATCATGAAAGTAAAAACAAAAAAAAAGCAGGAACTAGTACATTTTAAATTGAGATATCAGTATAATTTCTAAAAGAAAACTGCTGAGCTCACCATTCTTTGTTAGGTACTGAGCGAGTGTCCTGTAGGCCTGGTTCATTAAGATGATGACAACACTGTAGACAATACTGGGGACAAGGACCAGGCCTTTTGTCAACATGGTGTTCTCCTCCTTGTGTTTTGCCTTGGCAATATTTTCTGCCCAGAAGTAAACCATCATCACCACCACAGCGACAAGCATGCACAGGATCACGATTGGGAACGACACACAGTAGATTCTAAGTAGCCTTTTCCACGAGGGGTACACCGGCTCCGACCTTCCTGTTATCGGGTTTACGCCAAGCTTTCCGTGAAACCCTGCCCGCGGTTCTTCAAAGGCCTTCCTTCCCAGAGTTCCCCAGTTGTAGGCGTGTGCGCTGCTGGTGCGTTTCCACGTCTCGAGGAAAACTGTCGCCCAGATCATGTTGAAGACAGCAAAGATGACAAAATCGTTGCGGCCGCTCTCGTTGAAAAGGTAGTACAAGACTCCGATCACGGTTGGCACCACAAGAGCTTTGGTGTAGTGCCCCAAGAAGGCGAAGTACATAGCCACGCTCTCCCCAAAGTAACCTCTTATAGTCTCTGTGATAAACAGAAACAAAAAAAATGGTAATTCTGCCATATTCCTTTGAATGAATAAATAAAACTCATCCACAAAGGAACCAGAAAATTCTGACTCTATTTTTGCAAACATAGCTCATTGTTTAAAGTACATTTTGTACTTGTATTGTTAATAGCAAGAATCATATTTTCAACAATTTATTTGAACAGCTCATATTTACCAATTGGCTGGCCCCCCATGAGTTGTTTGGGACTATGAAGGTGGTACCAGTCATGTTGCAGTCTCTTGAGCTGGTCAGGATTGTGAACTGGATACATTTTGTCCAGGAGGTGACACGATACCATTCTACTTACTGAAAAAAAAAAAAAATGGTGTGAGCAAAGCAAAAGTGTTTCAAGTGATTGATACACAAAAATGCACTAACTGCACTTTAATCACAAAGCAGAACTGCCAAACATGTACATCTGTAGAGGTCATTTAAAAAAATGCTTTGATCTGCAGACATTTCATCTATTTTTGTCTACTTTGCCTATTTTTCTTTTGCCTACTTCATTCCACATTTTACACCAAAACATTCTGCATTTGAAAATTCCAGAGATTTGGTAAGCTTATTCTCTCTTTTTTTATGACTCTGTATATTAATGACATATAATGTAAAATTATGGTAACATAATTCAACATCCTTGAACATCCATCACAAAATGACACAAAAATTGCATTAGCTCATAGATCATCTATTTAATTCTATAATCAACTCACATATTGATTTTCCCTTGTAGAGCCTTGCCTTGCGGTCGCTACAGCCCGGGATGTGGTTCTCTGTCTCCAGGGCACGGATGTTATCAAGCTCTACCTTGATTATGTACTGGCTTTGTGACATGGTTAACATGCCCTCCAGCGACTCTATTAATATAAGAATCCAATGTTAGTACTACATATACTAACAACTCATGCAGATCTAGAGTTACAACTTTATCTACACAACAAAGTATGTATTATGATTATCAAGTTAAGGTGATGTTGGATACAGGTAATGCAAGTCTAACAGAATTGTGTAATCTTTGTTAACTGTCACATACTAGTAAGCCAATGAGAAACTATTGCTGCTCGACTATGGATCAAAAGGTGCTGGCTTCTGATTGGCTGAAATTTTTTAGCTACAACTTGCAACTACAGTATTAAGGAATTAAGTGTTTGGGATGAAAAAAAATCATAATGAACATTCATATGCTGACCAAATCTTACCAATATCTGTACAGTAAATGAGTTTGATTATCTATTAAAGCGATATTATATAAACATTGCTGTTTTACACATTTTCTTGCGTCCAAGACTACCCGGGTTCATAATGATACTTGGGAGTAAAAGATCAACATTGTTGCGCCACAAAAACGTGTTGGAAGCTGCCGAAGATACCCAAACGAAAACCACTGTTTGTTTGCATTCTTTTTAGGAGCCTCCTAAAAATACAGTGGGCCTGACCCGACTCATTCTCATGTTGCACTGAGTCGCCGGAAAAGCGAAATAGCAAGTAATATGCTGAAAGTTATTAAAAATGACAATCTAGATCAGAAAATTTCAATTATTTATATTTACAGTTTTGGCGCAAAATATCTTACATACTATTGTTTTAAATTTCTAGGGTTTACAGGGATAATTTTGTCTCACCTGTGTAGTCTTCAACATTTTGTCTCTCTGCGAAGGTAAACGGCCTGACTGACCCGTCCTTGTACTTCTTCTTCAGCCCCATCTGCTCAGCCCCCTGCAGGAGTCTCTCCTGAGGTGCAGACACCAGCAACACTCGCTCCTCACCATCATTAGCTACAACAGTCTAAAGGACAAAACTTTACGTCAGCTTTCTAGAGTCACTGGGATCCCAAAAAAGTTCAAATCACTCATTCTTCAACAATGAAGCAAAGCATGTACCACAAATATTTTACATCCTGGATGTACTCAAATACCCATCCATGATAAGTTCCAGACCACTTTATTGACAAGTAGCATTTATTATCTTATTTATTACGAAACCTTGTAGCCCTGCTGAGTCTTCCAAGACTAAAACACATTTAAAAGATATAATAATATAGCACAGAAAAAGTACAGTAAAATGACATAATGTCATAATGACTAGAATTAGATAATGTTACTTGTATGAGGCTTCTTTGTTACTGTGTGACATTATATGGTAACCAGGCTTTTCATATGCGCCATGTTTACTGATTACAGCAAGGAGCTTCAACGTCCTTGATTAATTACAGTGTATGTAAACACTGCCTGACAAATTGGTGATGAGTAATGTCAAAGTACAAGCCTCATCAATACGTACAGATGTGTGAGAACAGCAAATACCTTTGCATAAAGTTCTGCTCCTCCTTGCTTCTTGGAAGCTTCAATCTTAGCCTTCATCCATTCCCTTGTGACAGCCGTGGTCTTACTGGAGAACTCCAGCACTACAAGTGGTCTGAAGTCTGACAGGGACTCTGACTCTCCCTCATCCAACAGTGGATCCTTCTCCCCCTCATCTTGGGCCTTCTGTCTCCGAAACATGATGGCAATCAACACTTTCTGACCTGTGAAAACAAAAGATATACTTATAAGGGCCTGCATGGGGGTCCCGACAACTCTCTACACTAATTTTTGAGAGCTGGCTATGTATTACGCTGAATTCAAAAAGCCTACCCATTACGTTTTACGATAAATTCCGGGTAGCTATAACACACGTAGGATCAAAACGGCAAATTACACTCTATGCAAAATGAGCCAATTATGCTCTACCTTGAATTATATTGACAGGAACATTCTGCCAATAATTTTTTACGATAAATTCCGGGTAGCTATAACACACGTAGGATCAAAACGGCAACTTACACTCTACGCAAAATGCGCCAAATACGCTCTACCTTGAATTATATTGACAGGAACATTCTGCCAATAAAACCTGTTGCACTATTGACAGGATCAACTATTGATTGATAGGATCATCCTGTCAATAGCCATTGACTATAGGCTGTTTTGTGTATGGGCTCAGGAACTGACAAGACATGAGAAATGTTATCATGCATTGTTTGCAAACTTGAATTACCTGGTACTACTACTAACGTATTATGATATTAAATGCAATTGATAAAATAGATTTGCAACATGACAACAAGGCTGTCATAAATTCTGCCTGAAAATCTGGAATATTAATCAAGTGACAGCTAACATAAAGGTGACAACGTTTGGAAAGTGGGTTAAGCATGTAAGTGTCAATGCCGTGTGCCAGTCCTGCGCAGCTCTATATCCAGTTCATATGTTTTGTGTGACGTGTGGCAGACATGCCTTCAATACCTCACATCCCAAACACGCACGGAGGTCCGCACTCACCCAAACACCGACAAAATCCTCACCACGACGCGCTCGACGTTCTCGTGTGCTCGTCTGCGACCACACTAATGTGAGAAATCATTAAGGGCGTGACAAATTAAGGGGACAAGGGTTGTTACACCTAAAACGGCCCCTCCCACTACAAGACACATACCGGAAGTCCCCACCACAACTAATCAGGAGGTCGAAGGTCATCAAGCAATTTTTTTGAAAAACAAATCCAAACATCAGTTTGTGTAGTACCATAACTAAAATAACATTCAGTGCGATGGGTGATTATCCTTTAGTTAAATTAAATAATTCGTTACAACGAATTGCGTTTGTGAGGTCAAGGGTTACCGCTCGGGAGGTCTTTGAACTTTGTCACCCATCTCCGATATCACGGACAGGGACGTCGTTATGAAATAAAACGACCACACAGAGACTTGTTTTGTCCAGAAGAACGTAACATTTTCCATGGCTTGGCCGTGGGATGGGCTCTAGATATTCCAGAAACAGCAGGAGACCGACACCGATGGAAGAAGATCCCGAGGTTCGCGCAGGGACGAGCCAGGAGACTGGGGAGGTGGAAGGGGAGCTGGAGGCTGATGAGGAGGGGGTTGGCTCCGGGCCCGACTCCGGCGATGACTCAGATTCTGGAGATTTTGACCTGGCGCAAGTCCTGGCTCTGCTACTGAGGAGGTCAGTGGGTTCTACACTTTGTTTTTCACGATTCAATTGACCTTTGAGTCACATTGTTGTTGCTCAAGAGCCAAGGAAGAAGATGACGACACTTCACTAGAAAGGAAAACAAAATCAGTGGTGGGGTGGGGTACGTAGGAGGTTGGAGATACTGTAAAGAACAGAGGGATTAACGTTATACCAATAGGTCCACAGTTTCTTTACACTACGTCTTACCCTTCCCCCACATTGTTTTTTGTTTAACAGACCGTGACGTGGAGATGTTTCAGATATTTGGCATGTTGCGTATGCTGCATATGTTACAAACTAACAGGTGCTATCAAGAAGGTTTCCCCCTTTCATAGCCTCCTTGGTGAAACTTGGTGCTGCTGTTGACAGTTGTTGACAGTTGTTGACCTTCAGCAAGTTTACTGTTTACTGTATGATCTATTTTAAGCAACGATTTGGCACAATTTTTGCACAGCTGCTGTTAGTCTTGTTGATGTATCCTTTAAGAGGCTGACAAGATGTTTATCTTTTGATTCTAACTTGCATCAATGACCTGCCAAAAATACAAATTGCATCATCGTGTCATATAGTAATGCACAAGATATGCTTCTGCACATGTGATGTGCATATGTCTTCTTTTTATGCATATTCATAAATGTTTTGGCACATTTCCATGGAAACATTTAGCAGATGCAATGATTCACATTAAGTTATGCTGTAGGACCCATGCAGTGAAAGGACATGAGCAGCCATTTGATATGTTTTCTGTTTGAAAGGCTCAGGTTAGAATAGTTCAATTTCATGCCGTACACAACAAATGTGTTTGAGATACAGTTGTAGCATCTTTACAATTGTAAATTCTCAGTAAATTCTTAATTCTTAATTAGCATGGAGTGACACTGTAATTGTGTAGACATGTTTTCTGTATTTCAGAGATGACACTTTGAAATTGAAGCCTGTAAGAATGTTTCCATCATTGTAATGCTATTTTTGTCACTTAGCATTATACATATGTATTAATATTATCACATATTGAATTTTCAGAATGTTCTGACTCTTGAGAGTCTTGCAATTTTGGGATGTAACTGTTACATGTATTCGCACATTCGCACATATGGGATCTCATGTACCGAAGTGTCCAACATGCATGCTCCCTTCGTTTCCTGTTTTAGGGTGGGGTTATACAAAATGTAATGATAAATGACATTCCTTTACTCCAGATATCGATTCAAACCAGCAAGACTCATGGTCTTACATGTCAGTTGATTTGAGGCTGAACGGGTACCCTTAATAAGTTGTAATGTTGTAATTGGTGGTACATGTATATAGCCAATGAGGAGTACCACTGGCCCTGCCATGTTATTTCAGCATTTGTATCTTTCCTTGAGTGGCTGACTGACTGATGATGGACTACCAAAACTGGTACATACTTAAGCTGTAGAGCTGTCTCATCTATGTATCTAGTTTATATGTCTTCCTCCATTAATGTGACCACATGTGGTTGATGTGCCAAAAATTTGTAACATTGCAGTTCTCAGTGAGTCATTTTGGTATGTCATGGAATAGGGATGTATCAAAGGTGCTTGCTACTTAATGATAATATATATATATACATGAATATTGCATATACACAAGCATGTACAGGGCTCAAAATATCACCTGCATATGCAGGTGTGCAGAAAAAAGGATTTCAAGCCCTGATATAATATGCAAAATGGAATTTCTGATCATATATATGATAACTGCATATCCCCAAAACTGAAAGAAACAATGCTAACATTTCTTACAGTGATATTACTCTATCTTTGACTGTGAGGCAGATGCCTGTATGTAGTACATGTATTATAATTGAGAAAAAAACTCCTCACCACACGTTCCCTTCCAGGTGCAAGTGGTGTAACTGTCTAGCACGTTGTCGTTGTGTTTCCAGTGGGCAGGTGCGACTTATCCAGACGCGAGGTTCAGGTATAGCACTCCTTCGCTCTTCCGACAGTGACGAAGACGACCCCACCTCGTGTTCCGAGGCATGCTGCCCCGAAGGTAGAAAAGGAACCCTTTTGGTTTACCTGCTTGAGTTTCTTAATTTCTTTCTGTTGCTTTCCTTCCTCTTTCGTTGCATATCTTTTCACTTTATCCATTTTTTGGTTGGGAAAGTTCAACAAGTGTGCACACTGAAAAAGTCTAAAGTCTAACACATTCACATGGGAAATTTATCATTAAGTTGTGACATTGACATTTTAAAGTATGTTTTTGCATAATGTCATTGGTTGTTGTAACAAATTCTACACTAGTTTCTTTTTTTTTCAAACTCTTCTACACTAGTTTCACTGTAACTGTAGGCTCTTCCAGTGTGGTGTGTAACTATATATATATTACATGACATTGTAAATATCTAAGAAATGTCAAGGACAAAATTGGATACTGCCAAGGCTGGGAAGAAGGAATCATTATGTTTTATAAATGCTGGTGAATGCATACACCCTGCAGTGTGAAATTGTTTTCTCAACAACAGCCTAGAATCCTTGTGGGGTCGTCTTGGGTCACCCACAAATTTTGATGATGTGTTTCTTCACAGACTGTAAACAAAGGACACTTCACGCTCACCTGGAACTCAGGCAGTACAGGGCAATGAACTCTTTTAGTACGGCTCACTGACTGATCGCTATGTGCTCTTCAGTATGGATGGTCATTTTATTGACAAAACACACAGAAGAGAATCCAATACATGACAGTTTGCTTTTCTCCATGAATGTGCATAACATGGCAATAACGTTCTTGTCTTATTTGGTGCAAAAGGATTTAGAACAGCTGTAAATGAGTGTACATGGCATCTCATGAAAATGTTTACGATCTACCAGTAATGATCAAACATGAAAAATTAAGGCCATTATATCTACCAGTTTTTTTAAGCTTCATTACAGTCCAGACTACAAACCTCACCACTAAGGAAAGCACTGAAGTGTCCTTTGAATTGAAAAATATTGTCACTTGCTGGTTATATTGTATTGATTATGGATTTTCTTGATCAACATGTAATTGGCTGTGTCACCACTGTATGTAGAATCCCAATGGTCTTGTTACACGATGTATCTCATATTGATCAGGTGTGATTACTCCCAATGTGAATATCACTCCATCTCACATGGATTTTTCATTATAACGTTAACTGTGGTGTGTCATTTCTCTATCTGATTTTCCCATGTAGGTGACAGCCAGCCTGATACAAAGACCTTAGATGTAAGTTACAATTGAATTACTGATGTAGATTACTGGTATTGTAGGGAAGTGTCATAGAAAGAGTCCTAACAGTTAACGGACTATAGTGTTAGAAATCAATACATTTAATTAGTTTAAGATCGTTGAGGTAGATTATATCAAAAAGGCCTCTGATGTGGGAGAAACAGACAATAAAATGACCACAGTCAATCAAGCTAACTAATAGCAAGTTGAGAATTGCTTTTCAAGAATGATTTTGTCATTATTATTGAACCTATGACAGTTTGTTGGCAATGTATATTTTGACCAATCATGACCATATACCTATTTTGCAATGAAGCAAAGTCATTGGTGGATTGACATTTAACAGTTACTTTTCTGGCCTTGCACTTGCAGGACAGTGACTTCAAACAGGAGGTGTTGTTAGCAACAGCGAGGGCACAGTCCTTCAGTCCACCACAGGCATGCATCACTCGGATGCTGAAACAGGTGGGTTATGTTGGGTGTCACATGCTGAAAATTGTAAATCTGTGGTAGTGATGTCAATGTTTTTTATTTTTCATTGGCTTTGTTTGTACATACTAATATAACTAGAAAAGTAACATTTGCAAAGCAAATGCATAATGTTCACCTTCGCATATGGTCTGCTCTGTTAATTCTTACTCAGACACATTCATATATATGGTGACAGGAGTACTCCTACTATAAAATTTCAACATTATGTAACCCAACACCAGTTACCATATGGTGAGAGACAGTCTGGTTCAGTCAGGCCAGAGGTCACTATTTGGAGAAGGAAGAAGAAGAAACGTAGCAAAAACAATGTTTTCCTTTGGTGAACATAACTACTGGTTAGGGAATCTCAAGTTTTCTGTGATTGTTTCCCAGAGAGAAGTTGGTCTTCCCAAGAGGTGTGATGGCTTCACCAGTGGACAGTGTTCATGGATTGGGTCCAGGTACTTTGGGCATCTTTATTGTTCTATGACTCTTAGTATATCTTTCTTCTAACTTGTCAATGCCTGCCTATAGTAAGAGTGATATCATGTGTGTTACACAGTTCTGCATTACTCCTAAGTCAGTGTGGACATACAATGTAGATGCTTGGTTATGCTAACAGTCTTGCCTCTCCCTGTTGCTCTTTCCTAGTTATTTACCCAACTACATGACAACAGTTGCCAAGTACTGGCACAAGGCCTTCTGTGGGCAGTACTCACACAATGGCTCTGTCTTCCTCTCCGCTTGCCAAGGTGGTAAAACATAAACTGGAACCGGAACTTCTACTGTCTGTATTCTTACCATTGCAGAGAGCCACGAGTCTCAGTTGAAACCTCTGTTTTGTCAGCAAGTTGTTTTTTTAAGGCAATGCAGTCGTCTTTGTTCTGAGAAGAAGGAAAATATTATTCTTTGGTTTCTTTTTCTATAGCATAGTTGTTTTAGACAGACTGACAAAAAATATCAAAGATATGGTTTGTCTCACAAGTTTGTTTATTGAAACACTAACACCTTAGGAATATTCACATCTGAAATGAAAGAAAATGCTGCTTGCCCACTGCAAATGGTAGGAGTGTATACAGTAGAGATACATGTATGTCTATGTTTAAGTCTTGTTTTAGTTTAATTTGTTTTCCTTTATTTGTTGTTGTTTTTGGAACAGTTTTGTACCCAACTCCATGCGGGCCGTGGCTCAATACAGACACAAGGCATTCTGTGGACAGTACTCACTGGATGGTTCAGTCTTCCTTTCTGCTTGCCAAGGTATCATTATATATGGTTTCACTTCATTTGACTGTTTCTTTTGTTCCGTAGTTTTGTTTGTATGTACTTTTAGAATTGTTTGGTAGAAGATTTTTTTCAACAGTCTTACAATGAGTAATTTAATCACCATGCATGTAGGTGTTAGTGGTACCTGGTGCCATGGACTCAGATTATGTCATTTCTATAATAATCAATCCCTTAACAGAGAGAAAGTGGCTGTAATGTTAGTAGTATCTAATTTAGTATCTTTTGCATAACAACCTTCTCTATGAAAGGTAGTTTTTTGTCTCTGAGATTCAAGCTAGTTAGCTAGCTACATTATGAAGAAAGGTAGCCTTCTAGTAGAGCAATATATTTGTTTGTTATTATATTGTATCTGATGTATTTATGATGAATTCTCTGTCAGATCTACTACATCACCTAACATTTGGGTATGAAGCTTTGAGAAGCTAGCTGCCAGATATGCAGCTGAATAATATATGGATTGTGGTTCATTGATTTATTATTCTTTGACGTTCCTGGTTACAGATCAGAATATCAGGTTATACAATGTAGCCAATGGGAAGTTCCAAGAGTTCCGAACGATACGGGCGAGAGACGTGGGTTGGAGCGTCCTGGACACAGCCTTCAGGTAATCAGTACCACAGGAAAGTGTTTGGAGTATAGGCACCTTTTTAAATTGATGCAAAAGTACACAGAACAATACAAAAGAGACAGGTTAGTACTATAGCAGAAGCATTTTGTAAACTTAAACATTATTAAATTCATGCTTGAAAAACATACTTTAAACATAATACTACTTTTATCTTTATGGTATGTAACATAATGGGTTGTTATTGCATGTACCAATGTTTCAATGCATCACATAAAGAGATCTTTGCACACTGTCAAGAGAAAAGCATGACAACTTGTGTATTTTTGTTACAGTCCAGACGGCTGCTACCTGATATACTCTAGCTGGTCTGATGCAAGTAAGTAGAATGGAATGACACTAGTAGTACACTGAGTATTGATCAAGTATTCTCAAAATATGGCATTTGAAGATGTTTATTATAGTAATAGAACACTGGATCTGTGGTGTCATGGATAGAAGTAACTGGCTAGATGTGAAATAATGTTTTGTTTAGCAGTTGAACTTTCAAGTGTACTTTTGAATTTTTCTGAATGTTGACATGTTTCACCCCTTTCCAGTCCACCTATGCAACATCTATGGAGACTATGAGACACACATAGCCTTGGACCTGAAGTAAGTCCCTTGCTGACTACTTTTTAAGACTTAAAAAATGCACAGGACTTACAGATTAATTGTCCTTATAACAGTAACATGAAAAAAGTACCTGGTTTTTATGACTATTGGATTTGAACATGCAACTTATAACAACAGAAAAGGATTGTAATACAAAAGGAATATAGTATTTATTTTATGACTACTGTCAGTAGTTCTAGTATGTTTGCCTTCTTCAGACAAATTTCAATTACTAAGAATATTTATGATATTTTCCTTATTTTCCAGTCCCAGTGAGCGGCGGTTCTGTATCTTCTCCCTAACGTTCTCCAGTGATAATAAGGAAGTACTCGGGGGGTGAGTTGTCTGTCTTTTTATCATCTGTACATTTATTTACCTGAATTTTAAAAAATGTTGATAAGATGTTGATAAGATGTTATAATTATCAATACTTTCTTTTTGAGAGATTTCTCTGTCGATTCATATCACTGATCTAATAAAGTGACTTTTTCTGTTTCATACAGGGCCAATGATGGGTGTTTGTACATCTATGACAGAGAAAGAAATGAACGGACATTACGGGTAAGTGGGACTCAAAATAACCAGTTTCATATGTACATTTGTATAGGCTAATACTGGTTTTGGTATAAGGTATTTTGTTTCTATCATTCAGAAATTTTTTCAGCATTTCTTCAACTGTCTGCATTATCATTGTAAATTTTTGTCACAGTTACATAACTGCACACAAATCTTTAGTAGACACCTGAAACTGTAACAGTAGACAAAGAAATCTAAATAGACAGGAATAGGAGGAAGTGAGTTCCAGCACATTGACTGTTAGCTTGCAGCATCACCAGTAATAAGTCATGAGTATATAATGAATGTGGGACATACATGTGTAGGGGGTAGGACGTGGGTCCCTGTCCTTTATTGATCTACATGTAATTCACACCAAATGTGTTGCTGGTGGGAGGACACAAGTCCGTTCCACAAGTCCTACCCCCTACACATGTACCTGATGGTCAATGGTAACTTCTGGTCTGTCTGTGTCCCTGACAGATTGAGAGCCATGAGGATGATGTGAATGCCGTAGCGTACGCTGACGACAGCTCACAGATCCTGTACTCCGGTGGCGATGACGGGCTGTGTCGTGTGTGGGACAGGAGAATGTTGAGCGAGAACAACCCTAACGCCGTGGGGACCCTCGCAGGGCACTCAGACGGGATCACGTTTATTGACTCTAAAGTGAGGAACAGTTGTGATACTGCTCTATTTTCCTGTCGCCAGCACTTGTAAATGTGTATAAAAGCTTCATAATCTAAGTTAATGAAGGACTAAACACAACAAAAGACACACAACAAAACGGTTCAGCAAGGGAAGCTTTCAGATAGCATCCACATCTGTCTTTCATCAGCTTTGTGAAAAGGTAGTCACATAACCTAGGTATTAAAGGTTCACACAGGTCATATGACTGGACGAGAGTATTGTAGATCTAGATGGGGGATGGCATTCTTGTTATACCATGTACCTCATATCTATTGTTGTACCAAAGCTACTATTGCCTATACATGTGTCTGTAAAGTGTAGACTTGCTGGTATAATTATGAGAGGAGTCCCAGGCCTATAAATTAAATCCCACTTCCTGCCTTCTGTAGTCGGATGCTCGACATCTGATCTCCAACTCTAAGGACCAGACCATCAAACTGTGGGACGTCAGGAAGTTCTCCCCTCCTGAGGGGTTAGAGGTGGGTAGATCTACAGTCCTGTCTCTGAAGTAGAAACTTCTTTCATCTGCATGTACATGTACTTACTGCCAGGTGGAAACCACAAGGCACTTTCATAACAATCTATTTTACCATCAGTTGGATGATGGATTTCATTTTTAAAATGTTCCATGATTGGCATGAAGACATTTTTATTTTGCTGAAAGATTTTAAGCTCCTTTCTTCTTCAACAATACATTCATCTTATTTGCAATGTGTTGCAATTGAGCCACTTTCAAAGACTACATGTAGTGTAACTGAATAAATCATGTAAGAACTTGTTTTTATTTTGTACAACAAGTGGGCCCTCTGTGTCTTGTGACCCTCTAATTGATTTCATTTAATCTGACCTCTCTACATTGCAGGCTTCCAGAAGAGCCGTGGCTAATCAGAACTGGGACTACAGGTGGCAGCCAGTGCCTAAAAGAGGTAGGTGTATGTTTCTACGCCTCCTAGTGACTTTGTTAAGAACTGCATGTATCATTTAGTAACCCCAGAAGAGCCGTGGCTAATCAGAACTAGGACTAGGGGTGGCAACCTGTGCCTAAGCTAAAAGAGGTAGGTGTATATTTCTGCGCCACATAGTGACTTTGTTAGGAACTGCATGTATGATTAAGTAACCCCATCAACATATACACATCCTACAGAATTATTGTAGTGTTGTTTGTCTATCCAGCTGTCACCCCATCACATGTCACCAGCAGTTATTTGAAAGCAGGATAGATGCAGGCTGAAGTTGACACGTTCTAACCCAACCCTTTGTTTTTCCCACCACAGTTCGGACGAGCAGTGCCAGGCTGGCCGGTGACACGTCCCTGATGACCTACCGGGGACACGGTGTCCTCCACACCTTGGTCAGGTGTCGCTTCTCACCTGTACACACCACAGGACAGGTGGGCAATGGGACAGCAGAGTGCTTAATTTGATTTGATATTACTGCAAAAAAGTGGCAGATCTTAATTTATGCATGGTGTTGTCTTGAATATGTAATACTTAGTCTTGTATTTTGTCTGTGTTGTTACAGAGGTTCATCTACAGCGGCTGTTCAACTGGGAGTGTTGTTGGTTGGTATTTCTCTCATCTTATTTTGTGTAGATAGAATAACCGAACACAATCTACCTACAATGTACCTGTTAAAATGTGACAGATTGTTGTAATAGTGAGAAGTACATTTCTCAGTGAAGATCACCGATGATTCTTACAATGTATGCCTCTATTCCCCCCTAAGAAAAATTTTAAGTAAAACTGACAGTTTTCAGATGATTTTGCTGAGAAAGATACAGTTACAATTAAGAATCTTGAGATTGTTTGTAAAAATCTCAAGATTCTTTCAAAAAATCTTGATATTCTTTTAAAAAATCTTTAGATGTTTTGAGATTGTCTGAAACAATCTTGAGATTTTTCCAAAAAAATCTTGGGATTGTGTACTACAGTCCCAACTGAATGATACTCTTCTCCCGTGTTCCAGTATATGATGTCCTGACTGGGAAGATAGTGGAGAAATTGAGGGGACATAAGGCCTGTGTGAGGGACGTGTCCTGGCATCCCTACGAACCCAAAATCATGAGCACAGGGGTGAGTCTACTGTTGCAGTTGTTCTTACATCTCTGTTTATACAAACAATAATGACAACATCTGCATCTGCATCGTCAAATGCCTTTGAACTCCAATATATAAACTAGGACATTTAATGGCATCCATAGTGACAGGTTTTGATAGAAAAGCAAAAAAAGATTGTCTGAAGATCATTGAAGGATATTTATTACCTTACCTTAAAAATGATTATAGGGATGATATGTGGAAAGCTGAAATGTGAGTAACTGAAAACTAAATGCATGTTTTATAGAGTTTGCATTTAAAAGCAAATGTGTCAGCACAGAGTTTCAGCTCCAGTTGCCAGTACCTTTGCATCAGGTTGAATGTAATGAATTATTACATAGAAAGAAAGACTATGGGAAAAGACTTAAGCTTTGACGAAAGGTAAAGATAGAGAAATACTTCCCTATGTGGCAAATGTATATGATGTTTGCATGTACTTTTGCTGTTGTATGGCCATGGTAGTGTATTTGATGTTGTTTGTTTCACCTGCACAGTGGGATGGTATAGTTGGGCAGTGGGAAAGGAGATCTGAGGATTATCAAGACTCTGATTGTGACTCCGATGTCTTCGGTAAAGACCTGTCAAACTGTTTAGTCTTCTTGTACCACCAAACCCTCCTCAGTTTCACCAAAACGTGTACTAAAAAATGTCCTTTCATAGGACAAATTTTAACTGGTTCTCGTCGTTGTGGATGTATGATTTTGGCTTCAGATGTGTGTTGTAGCACGTCGGCAGAACACACTGCACCTGCACAAAACCCGTAATGTATTGTACATACCACTTCAGCAGAACGTCTCATATAAGGTGGTATTTGCAAATAGTGTTAGTTTTCTGACAGTAGTTTTCAAATGTTATGGCGGAAAAGTTATCGTCTGCAACAGGCAAAATTCTGATGCAACATTGACCCAAAAAAATGAAAGAAAACCGCAAAAATCCAGGGTTCTGCGCAGGCGCAGTACGTTCTGCCGACATGCTGTGTGTTGTACCCATGTAGTTATGTATAACTATGTGTTGTGTGTCTCCACAGTGGGATGGTGTACTCGGGCTCTGGGAGTGGAGACGCAGGATCCATGATCCGCTGGACGACTCCGACTCAGATGAGCTGTGGGAAGATGAGGAGGAGGAGGACAGGAAGAGGAGGAAGAGATCGCCGCGAAAGGACGGCAAACGTCACGCACTGTCCAACCTCCCGTCCAGTATCATGGGGGAGGTTGTGTAGTGATGTTGTTTTTTTGTCTTTTGCCCCATTTCTTCTGGATAATACAAACTAGCACCTGAAGGGAGAGTCTGCAAGACTTGTGCCTATTTCTCTTTCAATTCTCTCTCTCATTCTTTCTTTCCCTGTCAAATCTGTGTGTGTGTGTGAAGTTTCAAAATTGTTGCAAATTGGAGTTTTATCTAATTTTGCTGTTTGATTAAGTTGGGCAAAACTCTTGTGGACTCAACCTTCAAATATTTAAAATGCACTCATCAGATATATATACAGAGTTTGACTTATATTATACGTAACTATTGAAAGCTGCTCTCAGTTATATTTTCTTTGATTGTACATGCCGTGGTATGATTAACTGTCCCGTGGTATGATTAACTAGGTCTCACATAGATTAAAGAACTCATCATACTGGCCATGCAAGTAGTGGTGAGTCACATTGCACAGTCAGCCATAGAAAAAGCTTGTGCCTCATTAGAGGACAGCTGATTTACTTTTCAGTGCACTGCATTTTTGTCACACAAGGGCTGTCTGTGGGAGGGTAAGGTAGTTCTAGGCCTTTTGGGGTGAATTTGTTTTACTGTAATCCGAATCCTGTAATAAACAGTAGACTTAGGCATATATGTCTAATATGTGTATGAGGTTGAGGTAGAATGAAGAACCTTAAGGGTGGGGGTGGGGGGCATCACCTTGTGAAATCTGTATCGGTATAGCCGGTAAGAGATGAAGAAGTACCTCACAATTCAGTGAAAAGTAAAGCTTGTTGAACTGATGTGGAGAAGGATCCTAAGTATGTGGAAGACCACTAGTGTATGGGTGGAGCTGGAGCTGTTAATTCATGAAGTTGAACTTCAAAAGAAAAGTTTCTCATGGTTATGTCGGTATAGCCGGTAAGAGATGAAGAAGTACCTCACAATTCAGTGAAAAGTAAAGCTTGTTGAACTGATGTGGAGAAGGATCCTAAGTATGTGGAAGACCACTAGTGTATGGGTGGAGCTGGAGCTGTTAATTCATGAAGTTGAACTTCAAAAGAAAAGTTTCTCATGGTTATGTCGATAGTATGACAATCACATGAAATGAAGGGGATGTGTATAAGTTCCAAATTGAAGTTTGTAAACTAACATGAAGTCAACCTTTTCTGGTAGAATTACTCTGCCTCTTCAGTTCAAGTAATGAAAGACTACACTCCCCACCATTTTCTTAGTTAGCTCATTCTACATAGTATGTGTAGATTGTATTTAAAGTATAACAGCGATTTGGGTACTTTTCTCTGAAAAAAAAAAAACACATGTAGCTCAGGTGTGTACAGGACTCTGCCTTAACTATGCAAGTAACATATCTACGCATATTTGTGTGTGATTTGAATTGTTTTGAATGGATGGTTCTCTTGATGTGCACAGGTTTTTAGGGTAGCCTCTTTACATTGCAGTTGCATTTTTCAAAATGACACAACTACCATATTGCAGTACATGTATAAGAAATATCTTTATGTATGGCTGAAACAGATTTTATGTGTCATTTTTCTGCATTGGCACTTCATGAGGACTTTGTAAAAATGGCACTTAACAAGATAGTACTGGTAAATATAATGATTACAAAGGTTAATCAAGGAATGAAAATATGGCTTATTCTTTGAGTATTGGCAGTTTAAAATCAGAACAATCTGCACTGTCAGCTATCACCTTTTAGATTGTGATTAGTTTTGTCAGACAAAAACAGACACGGAGAAAGTAGCATGTAACAGTTACTTAAATTCTAAGTTCACAGTCTAGAGTAATAATGGATGTAAAGTTGAGAATAACATTATGGTCAGACAAATGTGTGAGACCTTGTTAAAATGTATGGTGGTTACATATGATGTTAAAATGGTAATGAAAAATACTAATGTGGTCTGAGCTGGTGCAGGAAATTTGGTGTGATTGTGTGATGCAAACAGATTGTGGTTCTCTGTTGTGCGGCAATAGAGAAATGTCAGGATTATCTTGCACAAATGTATGTAGTTGGGCTTTCTCTAAAATGAGACAACAGCTTTTTGCAGCATACTGTAATCCATTATCTAAAATGCAGGATCAGACTGTAGTGAACTACATATAATAGTTTTATTATTTGCTTTACATGTATTTTTAAAATTTATTTTGTCTTTTGTTTCAAAACTTGAAGAGACTGCTATTGTGTGACAAATATTGGAAAGTAATAGGAAAAGTTTTGTGTTTGGATATGGAAAGAAATTGGGATTATTATAACCAATTCTGTTATTGAGCTGAAAAATCAAACTGTTGAATGATACCTGGTCTGTATTATGTGATTCTTGAAGAAAAGTGTAAATATCATAAAATGTACATATTGCTGTATGTTACTCTGTACATCTCAGACTTTGTACTCCATTAGGACATGCATTGTACTGTAATGACTGCAGGACTGACCATTATATGAATAAAAGAAACAAATTCAAGTGTTAAAGTCATTACACGTGTACGTCCTTACTATGTGTATATTCTGTATGTCTTGAATCAAATGGCCACACAAATAACTTGTGCTTTTTTTATTTGAATTAGTCATACAAATATTTCTTCTTGATACATTCATGGATACATTGTCATCGTATTCAGGATAAAATTTCATCATCAAAAATAAATTATCTTGCACATTGATATATACACGTAATTATAAAAACCCTGATATCTTTTGCTTCTGTCATTAACTTTTTTCATGGCTTACTCTCAATTTTAATATGTCATCTAAATCTAGAATAGTTAAGCCTATAAGTAAGTACAAAGTGTTATGGAGAGAAAGTTCAGATTATATGTATAGCACTTCTAAGTTCTAGATGCCCAAATTTGGAGAGAAATAGCCTATAAAACTGTTCCGTATTGCAAGATTAGCATAGATTTGTGTCTGGTAATATATGACATCGATGAATTTTACATTGTTAGGAAGAAAACATTGCAGTTACTTCTTTTCTAACAGCTACCTTAAATGTTAAACCATATAACTGTTCACACACTACATGTAAGTACATGTAAGATCATATTGTCAATGTAACTAAACTTCAGTACCTAAACACTTGAGTTAGTATGAACCTGATAGCAACAACCATAAAGAAAAAGTTACATTCATTTCAGCAACAACGTAACAAATTCATCATCAATTGCATCCTTCCCATTCACTTGAGAAATGATTGTTTCAGCAATTTTTACATTAAAAAATTCTCTATGTACAGTGAGACTTTCAGTGACAACTAAAACATCTCACATAAAATCTTTACATCTTACGACATAAGGTAACATTACATTCCACATCTTTTCTGCTACAGCATTAACTTTGAGGAATGGTTTATATATGACCCACAAATGTGCCTAATGTGATTTTTGTTACCTAGACTGATCAAACCCTTTACTAAAAGTAGTTCTCATAAAATTCTATAGTTATAGTCTGTACTTTTCAAAGTCAACTGTCACCTTGCCATTGACTTACTAACAGTACCTTCTACCATTTGTGACTTACTTTTTGAAAATATTTTTTTAACAGAGCCACAAGACCAGTTGTGGGAACAGCTGCTTTTTGTTGAATAAATGCAAATCTTACAGTCGACAAGCAAACTTCATGTTTTATATGTAAGATTTAGTAGCACCAAATCAGGGAGAAAATGAGATGAAATGACTGCATGTCTTTCAAAAATATTTCATCTTTTGTGATCCTTACAAAATTTGGACATCCTATCCTCTTAGTCATATCTGTCAAAAGTTTCAATTTGATTCAAAACCTCACCATGACAGGAATGTGTTTTTTTACAGCATTTGTAATGTAAAACTATTCCTTACTATCAAGTAGATTTTGAGTCATAAGTACATGACTACATGTAGTTACAAATGATTGTCATACACACTTTGCATTCTTGTATAACGCCACTTAGAAGAAACAGTAAGTCTTGTATTTTTTTAACACCTAATGAGAAGTGATTTACTCTTACTACTGCCATGTACCTGTATAAGGCAACCTGTAGCAGTATTATTTCACTGGCACATAGAGTTCCAAATTCCCATTATACAGAAAATCTATACACATTCTGTATTGCAATCACACTTCTGAATTGATGTGTGAAGTAATAAAAACATTCTTTCAAATTGAAGCATGCTAATAGTAAAACCTTCATTTGATTGAGAACAAGATTGAGGTGATAGCTATACATTGTATATCAGTGGTAACTTTGTTCCATGCTGCACCCCTGTATCTAGCCACTACCAGGCTTCAGGGGGCGGCTGGAAAGAGTAGAAATCAGCCAAATAGAGAGAGAGAATGCCGGGTGCGGCAAACTGTACTGGCCTCTAGCAGACCAACGCCCCTGGCATGTTATCTCTCTATTTGGCCGATTTCTACTCTTTCCAGCTGCCTCCTGAAGCCTGGTAGAGGCTACCCTGTATGCACAGGCCTAACTCACAACACCTCCTGTTTGGGGATGGTGACTTGTGCCTGACTGACCGTGACTGGCACAGAGACCGGTGTGGGGCCCTTGGAGCTGGGCAGGAGTGCCGAGGACACCGGCAGCTTGTACTCCAGGGCAGAAGCAGGGAGTTTGAACTCAGGTGGAGAGATGCTGGGGGAGGGGAGGGGGGTGTCAGGTGCAGCCCCGTTAGCCAGGTGCATGGCTGTGGCTGGGTCCAGGTGCGGGTGGGTAGCCGGATGGGGAGGGTTGTCTGTGCTTGCACCTGTTGGAAAACATATTATTACTCAGTTAACTTTATCTGTTAAGAGCCCCTTGTGCAAGTAAGACCCACATGTATCTTGTCACATTTCCTATGTATCCAGTGTATTGCATATGTGCAAACTATGCTCCATGTAACAGGTATAAAATCCTGTGCTTTTGGCTGCTTCAAAAGAGAATAGCTGTTATGCAATATTATGAGTTATTTTCTAGATGCCTTTCAGAATAAAGCAGATGCTAGTGAGTGTTAGTTGGTCCTTTGGAATAATTTCTCCTAATGCCTGTTAGAGTCAAGATATTGGCATTGTTAGTGACATGCATTGTCAAGTGAGAGATTGCCCTGTAGACTTATCCTACAGACTTACATGATGTAGAGAGGAGAGAGAGGGTTGATCATGATTTAGCCAGAATGGCAAAGGAAGTCCTCACCAATGGGCGGTGAGGGCGGTGCCTCAGACTGATCAGCAGAGCCCCCTGGAGGAATGGAGGGAAGCTGCAATGTTTTCAGTGATTTTGTGGAGAAAACATGAAGGGGGAACAGGTAGGACATAAGGACAGACAGACTGCTTTAGAATCAATCTTCACTGAACATGCATTGCAGAATGGAACAAGAAGACTTGAAAAGTAAACAGAAAGAAAAGACAGTTTTGCTGTTTAGTTGATGGTCTTTAATCTTCTCATTAGGCTAGCCAAAAGTTTGCTACAAATAGTATTTCTATTTACCTCCCAGGAGCATCTCTTGTAGCAGGTTGTCAATCTTTGCCACCCCAAACAGTTTAGCGAACTGGATCTGTTCGATCATCTGCCACGTGATGCTCTGGAGGGTCGGCAGGAGGAGAAGGATCTCGCCGAAGCGCCCGCGCGACTCGTACTGTCTGTCGTTGATGTAGTCCTCCAGGTTGAGCTGGACCTGGTAACGCATGGACTTGATCTTGCCCCGCTCACTCAAGCCCTTGGCATCTAGGAAATGGGAAGAATCTAGAATTTAAAGAAGCACAAGTGTCAAATCGTAAGGATTTAACTTAGCAACACAAAGTACATATCTACCATTATGGGTGGACTGGGCAATAGAATGTTGCTTTCAAACTATGATCAGAATCTAATAGTTAAAATGTTCTGATCGGTTGTATGCAGAACATTGTACTTCACCAGTATTTTATGAATCTGTTATGAAAGCGCATTGCAGAACTTCCAGTTAAAGCACATTCTATATATAATTGACAATTATGTAAAAGGTGAGATAACCTCTTCTGAAAGTGACATAACCGTTACAGTGTCTCCCTAAGATAAATATATCTTGTCGGCTCAGTGGTACGATTTCTACAAGATGGAAGCAGTCGATACCTGGATCAAAAAACACCAGGGCCTTCAGGCAGGCAAACTCGCTATCATCGATGGCCACCTCCACCAGCGGCTTGACCAGCTCGTCCAGCACACGGCACGCAATGCGGCTGACCTCGATCTCCGGACTGTTGCGCGGGATGATGAAGTCGTTCCCCAGGAGAAGGCAGTCCTTCAGGGCCATGGATCGCCGGGCCACGCCTAGCAACAGGTGCTCACCTGCATGTGCTCTGAGCAAGGCCACCTGGGAAGGGCAAACATGTCGTCATGATGGAACAGTCCTATAACGTGATGGAGAGTTTGTAAAGGGACTAATTATGCCTGTAACATGTCATTGACTTTCACAAGAGAACAATGCTTTGGTTAGGGTACAGATTCTGTAGTCTTCTCTCTCCCATTAATAACAATGAATTTCCTTTTAATCTGTTGTCTTTGGGGTTAAGGTAGCCAACATCAACTTGCTGATGATTCTGCTACACTGTAGCATTTGGGCTGTAGAATTTGGACCATTGCACACTGGGGCATGCCCCTACTCTGTGGTGTACGTTGTTTTTCTGCTATTTTGAATTTCTGTGTATAAAGCAACTAGCAAGCTACATACATGTAGTATTACACTTCAACCTTTTCCGTAAGATGATAGTCAACTAAAGAGATACATATACATGTATAAGTACTTAGTACCAGAGACTTGCAAGACTTCCCGGGGACTTGCAAGACCTGTTCTTTTTTCCTTCCATCTCACCTGATCATCCAGTGGCAGTTCACAGAAGGTGGGGATGTACTTGGCCCACTCCACCAGGATCAGCAGCTGCTGCTTCATGGACTCACAGATGTCGTTTATCATCGCTATCTTCTTGGAATGTGGGTCACCGCCTGACAGTGGTGTGGAGATCTGGGAAAGGTAAGAAGAAAAGAGAAGTGAAGGGTGGAACAATCACAGGACCAGCAGGGATCTGACTTCAAACCAACCATGGATGGACATCAAGGACATCCAGACACCAAGGGAAAAATTAAGTTTTTACAAGCATCTTTGGCTGTTCCTCTAGCCTGGATGCCATTCAATATGTTACAGCATCCTTGGGGTTGCTATTACAAATCAGATGGCACCCAGGCTACTGTTCCTCTTCCTTGCAAAGTGTTTGAGACCCTAACTTGTGACACTTACAGATTCCTGGGCTATCAGTATCTAAGTATAACAACACTCAACCTCCTACATACTTCTGTGACAAGGGTAACAGGGGGGAGTGAAAGGGGTTTTGAAAGCCTTCTTTTTTTCAAATAAATGGTAATTGCCAGCCTTCTGGGCATCAAATATTGCTCAGATTTGTCTCCAAAGTATCCTAGAAATTAATCAATGAGTTACAAACTTGTAGTAGAAAGTAAGTGACGATGGAAGACTTTAAACATTTCTCACTGACCAGAACACCACCATACAGGAAACAGAACTGTGATAGCTGTACTTTGTGGTTGGCAGGAGGTGACAAACAGACTGACAGAACACAAGACCAGACCAGACCAGACTACACAGACTGAGGAGGACACGATTGTACAACACTTACAAGTGACACAAGACAGGGTCACTGAGGGTTGACTGTGAATCAGGTACGGTGGTTCAAGCCACACCGATCAAACTGCTGGCAGTTCTCAGGAAATCTTAAGACAATTGAGGTACAAATTTAACACCAAAGTTTTTCCAGAAGCAGATAACAAAACAACAGATGAGTTGCTATCACACATAGAAACTAGGATTTGTTTGACTGTTATGATTTGGGGTATTGAAAAGTTTGTTAGTACAAAAGATGTAATAGATAGTAGTCAATAAAACTGTTGATATTGTTACCTGATTGATGATGATTGGAAGTGGATTGTTAATCCATGCAGGAGAGGATCAGATCTAGGGTAGTGGGGTGGGATTTCCGTACAATTAAAGAGTGGAGCTCCTGTAACTTACGCCAAACGGCTTCTCTACCTGTCTAGACAGGATTTCTGCGTTCATGAGGGCGCTGACGGACAGCGGTCCCCCCGCGCCGGGATCCTCGTAACTCGTCCTGCGAGAACTGATGCGGTCTCTCTCATTCTGCACAGCTGCAGGGGAAATAAAGAAAACTGCCCATGTACACATATTCTCTTCCAAGGGAATCATTGCCACAATGTCATCTCAATAGCTGTATCATAGGTAACTTTTGGACTTCTTTCTTGCGGTAAAAGTGTTAAATTTTGACGGCAATATTATGCTAACTGTGGTGTGCAGTGATCAGAGCACTTCATATTACATAATTGACCATAAAAATCTTAAGGGGAGTAACATGTGCTTGTATATGCTCATATATCTCCTTTCTATTCCTGCCACAGCTGGCACTTTCCCAGTATAATTCTAAGCATTACGGTTTTCCTTGGGGCTGACTAATCCTGTGCTACTTTGTTGTCTTGAGTCATTGTCAAAGGAAATGTTAATCAGAAACCCCTTGGACCTACATTTACAGATTTACAGTACGCATAGTTACTTTTTTTCTGAACCGGTATCAACTTATATCTGACTTCCATCCGTGGTTTATTGAAACACGTCCACGCCCCTGACCAAACATGTCCATTTCAGTCTAACTTGTGTTTGATTAAGACTCGAGGGTCATGCCTAGTTCCTGCACAGTATCCACTTTGCAACAGTCTTGTTGTGGCTTGACCTTGGCATTTGTGCCTTTCGCCAGGAGTAATGTTTAGTAGCAATATTGACACAAGGTACTCTTCCTTCCTGTGATACCGTGACATTTTAAACAAACGTGGGGGACCCGCAGGGTTTGGCTGCCAGGTTTAATGTTTGGTCAGAATGCTGCTCTATCCAAATCAGTCCCCAGCTCATCAGATATGCACCAGCCTCGCAGTCAGGTAGTCATGGGAGAGGCTGGCATGGTCAGGAATGGAAGATAAGGACGGAGGTAGGAGCAAATATCGTGGGCCAAACAAAAACAATTTCGTGGTTAACCTATAAAGGCACTAAAAAGTAAAATTTGGGGTTGGCAGCTGCAAAAAAAAAAGGTCTGATAAACCTTTCAAAAATAATGACAACCCTTAGGTTTCAAGCGGCTTTGCACATATCTAATCTACTAAAGTTTGAAGTTACCTTTCATCCAAAGAACATCATGAATACGTACTACCTTCTTTCTTCATGCCAGCCCTGAAGCACTTCTTCAGCCTGCAGTATCTGCACTGGTTCCTCTTGTCTTTGTCCACTACACACATGCGGTTGAATCTAGACAGGAGGAAAATGAGGCAATTTTATCAGTTAAAGCTGAGATGAAAATCACTTGCAAATCAGAAAGATTCACTGTTATGTTGGAATCTTTGATACTTGACAAAGAAAAGAATCGAAAGCTTCTACAATTTTTGTCTCAAATCTATCCATTTTAGAGATGCTTTGTCATGCTGTTGGGAGGTCTAGGACGTCAATCAGCACTCTACTACTGATGATTTTTTAGTGCACCAATGTAAGAAAGTACATGAGGACAACAGGAGGATCCGGTGGATTAAAGAAGCAGTCTGGATAAGGAAGTCATCCCCAGTGATGAACCGGGACGAGGGGTGATACAAGCTCAGCCACGTTTGGGATTGCATTCTCGTGTGCAAAAGCGCCACCTACTTTGGCAATAAATAGCGGCGAGTTGCAGAACTCCAGTCAGAAGGTGTCTGATAGACATTGAAACGTAAGCAGGTGAGAACCTTACTGGTTGTGTAAATAGAAAATTCTATACCGTAAGAAAGTACAGTTACTATCAATGTAATAGCCCGAAGAGATGGCTCCCACTGACCAAGATTCACAATTTTCTGTCACCTCACCTGCATGTGTAGACATGGTTCTTGCGTACGCTGCGTCTGAAGAATCCCTTGCAGCCGTCGCAGCTGGCGGCGCCGTAGTGTTTCCCTGTGGCACGGTCTCCGCAGATTGCACATTGTGACAAGGTGACATCAGTCTCTGCACCCAGGGTGAAATCAGCCTGGGGCTGCTTCACCATTTGTACTGCAGAAATGAATGAAACACTTATTAATAAGCAAACAAAACTCCTTCATCTCATATTCAATGTACTATGCAATATGAGTAGAATATGAGATCACATAAAATTTGCATCTTAAAGGCATCATGCGATTGATTTTAGAGTAACAAAACTGGAAATATTCTGATTAAGGCCATCTTTACGATATTGACACATACTGCTTCACATTAGTAGTTTTCTATCAATATTTCATACTTTGGGTATTTAAAACTGCAGAAACAAGCCCCAAGGTGATTCCTTTGTTTTCTGGGTAGTACCCTTAAAATCAGTCAAGAGCCCTTCCAGTAACCATTTTCTGCCAGAATTTTGGATATTTTTGCTCCATGAGAGTCAATATACACAAGTCTGGGATAGTGTGGTTTCAATTCAGATATGTAGATATATATAGGTGACTAGACTTCAGAGGAGCCATGCCTGCTCAGAGTGTAGGACAGAAAATGTAACTATCTCAATGTTGCTTCTTTTTAAAGCAGTCAAAACTGCCTCTTTCCATTCTTGTTAGTCATCTCCTTGGTGCTGAAACGTCTTCACATAAACCAGTCCTGTCTTTCCCACAGTTCTTCAGCATTATAAACTTCAAACCCGGAAAGAGGTTCATCTGACGGGTCACCCCGCCAAGAGAAGGCCGAGCCTGCCAGCAGGGTGGCTTGTTTACTCACCACAGTACCGCACAATACAGAGTCAACACGGCCCATGTCAACTAATGTAACTACATTCCTGTGGCTTACGGGACTTGCAACAACTTAAGACACACCCAAACACCTTGCCATAATACAATGTTACCTCACATGTTGGAGATATTTTGAACAGTAGTTAACAAGTTACCAAAGTGAGACTTTGAAAACTTGTGAATGTGGTACATTACTGTACATGTGTGTGGTATATTCTTACTAGAGGGAATATTGTGTTCATCTGTGCAACACAAACTCTCAGTATTCAGGTTCTATGTTCTAAGTTGTTTGTTGGGATGGTCACTGTGAGTGACTTAATCAGGCTAATGTTGTGTAGACATCTTCATTAATCACAACTTATACCCCTTCCAGTTTTATAGGCCAATTGGAATAACTGGTTAATTATGCTCCTATGAACACTAGGCAGAAGGGTTAAACATTAAAGACTGTTTCTAGTTTAGACATCAAGGACTTCAGCAAGTTGTTCTCCAGGACTATTACTGACATTTAGTGGTTTAGTTCTTTCCCTGACTTATACTGGAAATTCCTAATACATACAGCTTTGGTGGGGAAACTTCTTAGAGAATGGCTTTAGAGTTTGAGTCAGAGTGCAGGCCATATGGCACAGCATGGCAGCACAAGGGATACGCCCTTTCCACCACTGAGCTCTAAATCCAAATACAAACAAAAGAGAAAAAAACTATGACATATCAACTGCCATTCACAGCACGCCCTCCCACTGTACTCCCCTTCCACATTCGCATACATCTGGACTGATAAAAAAAACTACATAATGATAAGACTGTACTTGAGTACAATTAGCTATATTTGCCCATGTAGAAGATGTAGCAAAATTATCATCTAGTATATATTATGTTCCCATTAAAATTATTATTTCTTCCATGCCCTATGACATGTCCTGACGTATGTTATAAAAAGTTATAAGACTCCGCCCCTTTCTCACCTGTCAGTGAATGTGTTCTCAATCATTAACAAGATATGACAAGCTTTGAATATAAGCACTTATCAATGCATTCAAATATTTGCCAACTAATGCAAATATGACTTGAAAAACATGCCGCTGTGCGTGAGTAGAAGGCACCTAACATGTGAAGAGTATGATATTTGCCCGCAACGACCCCCAGGTCAGCTGTTACATTCCAACGCAAGAGCGTCATTGGAAAAAGAAATGATAAGCTCTACAAACAGTTGGACAAAAAGTGACCAATGACATCTGAACAGTATTAAGTAACAGTGAAAAGAGGTTTAAGTGAATTGGATCGAGAAAAATGCCATTTGTGGCAAACTTCTAACGTTAATTAATAGCCACTTATCAATGCCAAGCCAAACAACAGGGTAATTCAACATGGGTCCTAATCATTTCCTTCCTCCTCTCCAATCTTATCATCTTCAAAAATGGAAACTTGTCCTTTAAAAAACTGTAGAACTTCTGTAGAATCTATACTTGAAGACGTTCATCAACAATGTATAGATGTCGAAACTGTCAATTCTGTTGATGCAGATTAGTTGCAGCAGTCAGCAAAATAATTACTAGTCCCGTGACTCCAAGAAGATAAAGTAATTGACTCAAGTCAGATCAAACACTAGCTGGTGTCACTAATGATAATCGGACACGCAAATATTTGCTGTACTTTTGTGTTGCCCCCCTCTTTTCAAACACCGCTGATACGGCTGGGTTAGCTTTATAATCTGTAGGGCAGCTAGAGTGGAACAGAGCGTAACGACAACAAAGTGCCCGGTTTGCTCACCTCTTCATTAAACTGACAGGAATTGGAAGATGGTTACAGATGTGAAACTGAAATTTAAGATCAGTTTCTGTACTTTTCAGGAGACTCAGATGTATCAATTTTAAAAAGTTGTCTTTTGCAACATCTTCCCATACCAAGAGAATGCCCAATATTTGCAGTGATGATGAGATATTTAAATTTCAAAAGTTAAGGTCACATAGCCAACAAATTCAGTATAACTTATAAGACAAGGTACTTTTTCCATTTGCTCTGTAGTTTTCAACATCATCCATGTATGAGAATCAGAGCTTGGGAAAACTAGTGTATTGGACACTTTGTTGAAGGAAAATTGTCCTGTTTTCTAGGTTTAGAAATAACTTGAAGGTAAAACTAAATTGAAGTTAGTATTGACTTTCTTTCAACACCTTTCAAACCTGACACTCACCATATTTGCACCAGCAGACATTCATCATAGCTAAGGGCAGTGTGTACTAACAAGTACTAACAGTATTGATGTGAACAAATTCATTTACTATAACTTGTATGCCACATGCCATTAATTACCATGTCAAATTCACACACAGTACCTACGGTATTGGTTAGGCTTTTTAAAAAGGTTTTTCTGCATATCTGCACTGGTAAATCATGTTTACCTGTGCGCTGTGCCACTATTTTTTGCATCAAGTCCATCAAAAATGATTTCAAGAGGCATTACCATTTTTAGTCTTTTCATCTGATGTCTTAGATGCTAGAAAAATTAAGGCATCCAAATTGAATGAGATTTGCCTAATTGGTCATATCAGTAGCTACTGCTCAACAGATCAGGTAATTACAGTGTATATACTTTGTTCAATCAAATCTGGTTGCAATTAGATAGCAATAGAGACTATAAATTGTCAAATAGAGCCTGACAGTGACACTTTTGTGAGACTTACATTTCAGTAGAAGACAAACAATTGAAAGGTTGATGTACTAAAAGTGTCAGGTGACACACTAGTGAATACCTGCTGGTGGTTTGATGGTGGGTAAGCCTGTCATGTTGTCCGATCCACCAAACATGGCTGAAAGAACAGATAGCAAAGAAGGGCTGAAGACAGAGAAAGGTAAAACAATGGCAGAAACTGTGGTAGGAATTTCTTACAATGTTTGATGCAGTGATCTTGTTGAGAAAGTTTAAAAAGACTGTGTTCTCTGCACTTGGTTCAACACACAAGCAACAGTGCCCACAAATTACCTTTTCAGACCAAAACTTGTATTACATGTAACCTGACTTGTTGTCTTAGAAAGTTAAATGTATCCTGCAGGTTTAAAGACACTGGTAACACGGACTACATAATGTGATGTAAATGCCACAATCATCCAAAACTTCCTGCGTTTTCAGGGTTACCAGTACCCGAACCAAACTTACCCGCATACAAACCTGGCCATCTTCACTTCTCGACAGTGCCACCCTCCGGACATCATCAAGGGAATGGGCAAACAATCAAGCTTTCACTTCTACCCTTTACCCCAAAACATTCCCAAGATTTACAACAGTAGCTTTCACTGTGTTGGTTTACAGAGAAGTACACTGTGCCCCTTGGTACAAAAGCCAACGACTACTCACACAACAGACCCTACACTACAGTCTGTCCACCTGGCCAACCAAGCTATTTCAATCTGTACTCTGCACATAAAGCCTAACTTCCTGCTTTGACATCAAAATATCTGAACATTGCTTAAGTAGTTATAATAGTTTTCTACGCCGGGATTACATAACAAAGGACATAATCCGCGCGGATTCCGAAGGATCTTAATATTACTACTGGCTCCGAAGTCTAATTAGTAAGGTAAAGAACAAATTCCACCATTTACCTGATAAGGGAATTTAAAAGGACTTCGACGCCTGAAACAACTCGACTGAAGTGCAATGTGTGTTTGACTGCCCGGCACACAAATACGCATCCAGGTCTTAAGCCAGCCTGGATTTTGATGGATCGTGAAACAACACTACTATTTTTGCGGTTTTTATCAGGGGGCCGAGATTGGGTCTTCTATCGTGCCTCCCATTTGCCTCCCAACCTGCTTGTGTAAATTTGCCGTTAAGGTCGTGGCCGCTGTTGCTAGCTGGCAAAATATGCTTACTCAATTGATTTCTGAGATTGCGGCCACAGCAACCCTACCACTATTGCCCCTCCGTTTTACTGCTATAACATTGCTAAGCTTGGCGATCCCTTCCTTACAAAGGTCTCTGGTGCACGTCTGAAGTGTTACGTACCAAGTAACTTTGACTTTCCTAAAACTTTAAACTTTGTTCCCTTGGCCATTGTTGTACTGTATGGACCACACCTTTTATTGCCCCATTTCTCAAATGTTTTGACAAGGTTTATGCTGTGTAGCCACAGAGGAATTTCTCACGTAAGCCGCCCATACCTGTCCACTATGGAGTGGTAGGCTCCCAGGTGATAAAAGATCTTTAACTGACAGGTGTGTACAGCCCGGGGGAAAAACATGTTATCCCGATTGGCCGTCGAACAATCACCAATAGTTAATGGCTAACTATTTTGCACCCCTGGTAAGGCACACAACTGAGGTTTTCATTGCTCAGTCCGATACATGCCTTCACAGAGTGTTTGAACAGAGAGCGATCCTGCTTACCTAGACCAAGAGGTGAGAATGGAGAGGATGAAAAACATCACACTGGTGAAAAGAACATGAAGAGAATAGAACATCTGACATCTAAAGCTATGATATTTATAGCCGACAAATACACTATGGCAGATGGAGTGTGTACTCATCTGAACCTGAAAAATGGACTTGAATGACATGATGTCTTACAATAAGTGGCATGAATGTTAAGGTCGTCTCAGTAAGTATGCATAGGTGCAGTTACAGTACACTACAGCTGACACAGATAAACTTACAGGTAACTGCAAAGGATTTTCCAATTCATCAGCTGTTTGCATGTGATGTCATATAGAACTGCCCACAAAAAACTGACCACATATAGAACTGCCCACAATGTCTTTGGCTTATTTTTTCATTAGTTTTTAGGCATTTTTAACAGGCTATCTTTTTTGGACTGGTATCTTTTTGTTATACTAGCCTTCGGTGGCAAATGGATACTGCTATTCCAATTTGATGAGACAGCACTGTCTTGCCACATTGATACTGCCTTGCAGCCACCAAAGATCTGTTCTCAAACATTCCTTTTTGTTCAAAACTCTTCAAAGAAACTTTGTCCAAATGCCAGAAATGTTAGTTTCCAAAAAAAAAAGTTACAAGTGACAAAGAAATAAGTTGGACTTTTCAAATTGACAAACATATTTTATATCTTGTAGTTTTACAAGTCATGAAAAACTTTCAAGAGTTCCAAAAAGTTCAGTGTTCACACATCAATTGAAAGCTCCTCCTCTCCAAGTCATAGATATCACATTATTATCCAATTCAGCCAAAGAACATGTTTAATATTTTCTGTCAACAGCAAGTATTACAATTAATTGATATGTTCCTTTGCTAATTCCTCACCCAATATTCAGCTATTGAATGTATTTTACCTCAATAATTGGAAATCAGGCAATTTTTTCTCAATGATATCAAAGGAGTGCAAGAGTCTTTTATCAGATCTTCTCACATCCTGACTTGATTGATCGTTTGTATATCTAGTGTTTGACTAATGGCGTTATCATTATGACAATACACTAACATACTTTCCCACCAGGCAGGTAGTTATTAATAGGTGTACGATTGTTCTACGTGGGGGACGTGGGGTCACGAAAGGTCGGCCCACAAGGCCACTTGCTCCATGGTATGCTTTTAGCCCAAAAAAGCTGTGTTGTCATGTGGGATGTACCAATAACTTGTGACAGCAACAGGACAGTATATTGTTAACTTGCTCAAAAGATCTTTCCTTGTGATATCAAGGAGGTTAGAGACTTTTGGTGAATAATGTTGGAGTTGTATGGAACAAATAACCCAACATCCCTTGACAGTTGGTTCTCAGTGTTACTAGCATAACTTAAGAGGATATCGTGATTGGACCATCAAAACCATCAGATTGGACCATCAGAACCAATAACAGATTCGATTACCCTTTTACTACATCTGGCTTGAAGCCTGAGTGTCAGCTTTTTTAGCTTTCGTGGTGAGCAGGCGAAAACTAAAAAGGCTGACACTCAGGCTATCTGGCTTGGGCTCTAGCTTCCAATTAAAAGGCTCTACAGCAATCTTGGGCAAAACTCTTCAAGTCTTCTGAAGCTTGCATAATGACAGTGTGTGAAGAGATAAATTTGTTGCGACAAATTAGGTCCAGATAGGCAACAGATTTAATTACTTTTTTGTTAGTTTTGTTCGACCTTGAGTGATTTATGATCTTTCATTTATGAGTTGATTGCCAAGCCAAAGATCAATGTCATTCCCAAAATGGCACGCTTGAACAAATATCCATTAAATTCAACTTCACTGTAGTTATGTAACACATTGCACAGTGTGGGAGGTTGCTAGTGCCAATTTTAAATGCACAAGAGCTGATCATATATCATCAGCTTCTTTCTAGACAATGTAAGATCACCATTGGAGCATAACATCAACTCAAATATTCATCCTGAATTTTGAGAGAATTTGACTTATAAAATCTAGATGATGCAACCGCAGCCCCTTCATCTATCAAGGCATGTCAGATGATTGATCAGATAAGCTCTCCCAACTTTAAACAATCAATAAATCAATGCCAAGAAGTAGGTAAAAGACCATGGGAGAAAATAACTCTGAATATGTGTTAGCATCAATTATAGATGTCAAAGAGGACCATGAATATGTACCCTGGTACATTTGAACAGGTAAGACTTCAGAATACATTTGTAGCTTACAAGTGTGCCGCACATTGGACACATGCTGTATACCCAATACAAGGCATTTAAATGCATGTTGTAAAATGATGAACTTAAATAGTTCTACTGTAGTATTTGCCACCCAAATGTCACAAGTTTCAATTATTTGTACAGTCTTATCTTAGTTTCAGGCCTTATCATCTAGCACCATCCAATCACTGCGCAGAAAGTTCCAACCAATCACAAGACAGAGATTTTGTTTCCACCCCTTCCGCCAAGGTCACCAGAGAATGAGATGTCAGTAGATTGATAAAAAGTAGAAGTTGTACACTATTTGGTGAGTCATATCAAATATTCTAATAAGGTCACGTTGATTTGATTATATGATTGACATCCTCTGGGAACCCTAAACTGATGTAAGTGTGCGAAAAAAGTTTGGCAAAAAAAAGTTGCCTTCATTATGAAATATAGGTGGTCATGAAGGTTGAACAAATGACAGAGTACTATCTTATTGGCATGGTGAATAATATTTCCATTCCTTCACATATTCTTCTTGTCCTTTGGAATGGATTCTGGCATTCTGCGACATAAGTATCTTTCCCGATATCTTTTTTTTTAATCGTATATATTAGCTCATTTTGCAGCTACTGCAGCTAAAAATTCATGCACACATGGATGTCATCCATATAATCCAATCAACATGGCCTAATGTCTATGTGAAATGTCTCTTTCAAGAGAACTTTCAATGAAAGTTTGTACTCTTAGCTTGTAGCCTTATGACTACGAAATGGTATTGGTACACAAGTGTTCTTGTTTCCTTACAAGCTTTCATCAATAAAGCACCTGTATAGCCATGCTCTATTGGAATGTCATAGAGGAATTCATAAAGTATTCTGCACTTACAATGTCATGTTTTCGTAAACAGTTATCTCCCAGAGTTATGCTTATTATGGTAGTGCAATGGAAATAAAGTACAGTAATAACAATTATGACCATGAGGACAAAACAAAACTTACCTGTATCATATCCCAAGATTACACCCATCATTCTAGCCTTTTATTTACATAAGAATGCATTGACAGCATTAGCTAATTGTAAGTACACATATAGGATCTCTGGTACAACATGGCTGAAATGTAATCCTTGCTAGGCCTTTGTGTATCTATTTGCTACACTAAGCTGGACTGAAATAAATACTCCTGTTGTTGTTGTTATGAGTATCAGACAGATCATGAAAACAAAACAGGCTGAAGTTAGTATGGTGACTAATTCTTATGCTAGGAATGCTATAAATATGGTGCAGTGGTCTGCTTCAAAATAAGCAAAATGTGCATTTTTGAAATACTATAAAACCACCAAATTTCCAACTGTTTTTATCTAACTTAACACTACCTTTCCTTTACACAATCTCTCTCTCTCTCACACACACACACACACAAACACACACCAACACACACACAGGTATTTTATTCCCATTGATAGTCCCCACAATTGTGAATGAAAATTGTATTCTGTTAAAAAAATTCAAGCCTCCTACCCATTAGAGTAATGTAAAAGATATGCTATCTATTGGATACATCCATGGATTTATAATTTGCTGTCAGTCAAGTGATTGTGATTTTTGCTCCCAACATCTGCTTGAAGATCAAGCCGTCAGCCCCTTTGGTTATCAACACTGGTTGGTCCCCACGACTACCTTTCTCCAAGGAGCCTTGCTGGTTCCAAGGCCAAAATCAGTCAGCGTCGCGGTCAGCTGATAGGGTCAAGGTGAGGTTTGGGTCCAGATAAATCCAGCAAGTTTCGTTCAAGGATTATCTTTCTGGGAGAGACCGACCATGAGCTTTTGAGGAAATCGATGATCACAACAACCTTGCTAAATACAAAACAGCTGGGCCACTTTGCAGCTGGCTAACATGGAAAACAACAGCGGGAGGGATTGTGACAACAACGCAAAACACGCGGAAATTATTAAAATTTAATGACCGAAATATTGAGGAATTTTCTTATGTCGTAGGCGTGCGCAGCGAAGTCATCTTAGAAACACTGGTGTTAGAAATGTATAGGAGAAATCCGGAGCGGCTCCCCAGTTGGTACCACTAGGCTCGAGAAAAACAACTGTGGTTACTCGTATGACAATCAAACTGCGATCTCAGCAGGTTTGGGCGTGTTTGTGAACTATCGCGCTACGAACTTCTGAAGCTTGTTCCGTTCCCCGCTGGCCGAAAATGAAAGTAAAAAGTTGGGCAGAAGTTGCGAACTTCTCAGCCCGTTGCGGCGTTTCTGGGCGAGTTCGTTACACCCACAGGTCGCTTGCTACGTTACCAGCGTGAGATAAAACTGTGCAAACAATTTTTCGTCAGCCGGCTGGTGGGACGCAAGCAACCTGTGTCAAAACGCGCTCAGACCGCTCGCGTTTCCCACCCTCTGCGGAAAAAAAGAGGTCGCGCGACAAATTCACCTTCTTCGGACTTTTTCCCGGTCATAATGCGTTGACCCGGCATCTGTTGACGGGTGGTTGGGCGGGGGAAACTGGACGTTGGACCCTCGGAAGACCCTTGGACCGGCGGCTGGTTGAGCGGCTTGCGGCGAGCTGCGGGAGAGTTGCGGGAAGGGGGAGGGGCCAGGGATGGCGTAATCCGATCATGTGAGGCAAGATTTATTTTGGCGATTCCAGCAACTTTTGCAGAGCATTTTCTCACGCACTCAGAGATGCCGGGAAACCAACCAACCGTGTGCAAATTGATCACTTAGAACCCTTTCCGTTTAAAATTATATATCTCAACACAAGACTACTTTAAAATTACATTCTATTTTCGTGGATTCGTATTGAAAAGTTTCCGGCTGACTGCACCACCCCCTTTTCCAGATGGACTCGACTTGGCAAACTTGAGCAGAACGGCTGACCTCTGAACGACCCTGCCTGACTGCTCGGGCAACAACCTTCGCTTCGAGGCGCAACAACACGGACACTTGTCCTGCGATCCTCTTCTGTTTTCAGTTAGAAGACAATTGCCTACAGCGAGAAGTCAAGATAATACTACACTACTCACTAGTCACTACGACTTGCGTTTGCCTTGATTATATCTATACAAAAGCTTAAAATTTAAATCTTCAAGTTTGTAAGTATACCGATGGGATCTAAATAAAAAGTTAAATATTCTAAAGCTGACTAAAAAGCAACAAGATTTTCAACACACTGGTTTTGAGAGTTTTTATTCTCCACTTTTGTGATCTATAGTCTGCAGGTTACTACAAAATTTACAGACTGAGTACATAATTCTTACTATAACCACCTCAATGTGATACAGCTGACTACACTTTACAATCATGACTTTCAAGAGAAAAAGTGACAAAGGATATCAGGTCCATTACAACTGTGTGTCAGATGTAGAAAGCTTCGACTGTTCGTGTGATTTTTTTTAGACGTATAGAATACAAAAACAACTCTCAGAGCAGCTTTGTTTTAAATTACACATTTTGGAGGATATACATCATCATACAGTAGTTGTAGCTGTGTAGAAGTCCTCTTAGTTCTCTGGTCACCAGTAAATACACAACAGAATAGCCTCTTTACAAGCTTTTGTTCTATACTCTCAACCTCCTTGCCAGTTAACCGCTGCAGAAACGCTACAAGTCAGTTTATACAAAAATTGTTTCAGCAAAGTGCAATCGAAATATTAGTAAGTGGCAATGCTGAAGGAGACAAAGAGAGAATACTGGGGTGATATGGTGTTAAAATCTTCACAGCAAGGATAAGCAAAAAAGACAAACTGGATGTTGAAACCAGCATAGTCTCTCCCTCCCAAGAACCAAAATGTTATAATGAAGCATTCATGATTACTGTGATGGCTACTTGTGTTAAGTATGCTTTGCAGCAGCAAAGTGCATTCAAGTTCTAAACCAGAAGGACCACTTGAGCACTTCAGACATTGGTGCATTCACAGTGCCACAAAAAAAGTGATAAAAGGTAAATTAGTAAACATTAGACAATCTACAATTCTGCCATCCTACACAGAAAGTAGTGGCAAATTAGTCACTAGCACTAGAAGTACTGTACTGTATAACAACAGAGAAACATGGCCAACATAGACATAGTACATGTATTGGAAACAACCATGTGCAGTTTTATGTCAACATATAAAAAAATTAATGAGCATCACAAACACAACTGTTTCTGTGGTGCGTTTTGCATTGAGATGCACCAAGTGTTTAGTAAAATGTAAGGAAGGTACTGTATTAGTAAACACTGTACACTGTCATTCATGTGTAATGCCATTTCCAAAGATAACTTATCAATCAGCTTCACTATGTGCAATGTGCACACAGTAGAAATAGGAACACATGTATGGGTAGCAAAAAAGAAATACATACCATTCAACTGAGCTGGAAAATTCACCATCCCTTTTCCTATGCTATCCCTCTATACGTTACATGTTCCAACTTCCAGGCCAGAAGAACATGTACACGTAAATTTAAATTTTAAACACAGGCATTTAAAACCCTGCTACACATTTTTTTTCCTTCTCTGTACAGCAGATTTTTTACTTGAACCAAAAGGTTGACAATAAGCAATCAAACCAAGGGTTATTGCATCTTTTTTCTCTTCCTTGCGATGGCGTCTTCTACAGCCTTCAGCTGCTTCAGAAGTTCCTCTCGGCGGGACAGGGTGCTCTTCTTCTCCGCTGGTTTCTCTGCGGGTGGTTTTGCTGCCGGCTTACCTGCTGGAGCCGCCTTCTGCGCAGGTGGTTGTCTCCGGGGTTCCTTCGGGGAGGGCGGCTCGCCTGGTGGTGTGAGAGGTCGCTTGGCTTCCGGTCGGCTTCCTGCACTAGGCCGTCTCTCCGCTATGTTTGTGTGCACAACAACAATAAAGTTAGTCCATATGTAATGTATCACCAGTACCAAATTAGCAATTCTTATGAACAGACAGAACAGTACATCCAAAATAGCCTCTACCAGGCTTCGGGAGGCAGCTGGAAAGAGTAGAAATTGACCGAATAGAGAGATACATGCCAGGAGAGTTGGTCCCCTAGAGAGTACCCAAACTAGCCAATTTCTGTTCTTTCCAGCCACCTCCCCGAAGCCTGGTAGAGGCTACAGTATACATCCAAAACTTTAAGGCCCCAAATCATAAATACTGTTTAGACGATACATAAATGAAGAAAGCATAAGACTCTGTTTCACCTGTCTTTGTTGGAGATGGAGTTGGGGCTGGCCGAGCTTTCTTGGCTGGGGGTGACTTCTCCTTTTCTGGTGGTGCACGTTTCTTACTCTCTGGGGGTTTCTCTGCAGCAGGCTTGAAAAAGACAATTTGAATGGTTATCATTTTGTATCCAAAATCAGTACACAAGATGGCAAAATATGGCATAACTAGAAAGGTAACATTTGCAAAGCAAATGCATGTTTACCTTCACATATGGTCTGCTCTGTTAATTCTTACTCAAACACATTCATATATATATGGTCAGACAGGAGTCTAAATCCCACCTGCTATGACATTGCAACATGATGTAACCCAACACCAGTTACCATGGTGATAGACTGTCTGGTTCAGGTCATTGACCTTTTGGAGAAGAGGAAACTGAGCAAAAACAATATGTTTTCCTTCGGTAAACATAACTACATGAGTATGCTTTAGTACCTTGTTCAGTAGTGTTAACTTGATAGGCTTGTGGGCACTGTATTTCATGGCAGGGCCCTTGTTCTGTGCGGCTTGTGTAGAGGATTTGGCAGAGGCTTTTCTCTTTTCCTCTTCGTCCCTTCTCATCTCCTCCCTCCTGCGCTCTTCCTCCCGTTTCTTCTCGTCCTCTCTCCGCCTCTCCTCTTCCCTCCTTCTCCCGTCCTCCTCTCGTCGTCTCCTCTCTTCTTCCCTCCTCCTGTCCATGTCTGGCCTGGGTGGATCTGGCCTTCGTCTGTCGTTGGCTGGAGGGGGGTGCCTCTGGGGGGGACCCTGTGGTCTGCGTCCACGAGTATCACCAGATGGAGGGGGCGGACGCTGTCGTGATGGGTGTGGGGGCTCCGGAGGTCTGCTTTTCGAAGCCGGCTTGGCTGGTGGCTTCTTGGGTTTATCTATAAAATAAAATTTAACAACGACTGAAACACTTTGCACCTATTTCACTATTAGAATAACTTAAAAAGTTAAAGAGCCTTCCCGCATCAAGTGACGTATAGGGCGGCACCCATCTCTGTTTTCAATAGCCTTGGGCCACACAGCAGTGCAATCACTACAGCAGGGGGCTAGTCTACTGGTAGTGGTGTGTGTGATGAATTCCCATACTCTTTCCCAAAGAGTGCTAAGCAAAGAAAGCAGTATATACCATTTTTAAAGTCTTTGGTATGACTCCAAACCAAGGGGTCGGAACTCACGACCTACCGAATGCAAAGCGAACACTCTACCCACTTGGCCATTGCACCGGTTATATCACTATTAGAATACAGAAATAGAAACACAGGCACAACTTCCAACAATATCTGCAATTGTAAGAATTTCAACATCACCACTGTTTGTGTACCTTCTTTCTTCTTGCTGGGAGAGGGGGAGCGTGAGGATGCAGATGAGATGGGACTAGCCATGTTACCGTACAGGTTCTCAGAGTCAGCACTGATGCTGGAAATACTGCTGGACAGACTACTGGACCTGGACGACACACTGCTGGCACTCACACTGGAAAACATGCAATAGTGTAAGAAGTTTCATAGTTTGTTTGTTTTTATTTACTTCATGATTCACCACAAAACAAGGCATAGTGTCTATGATTAGGTTTAACACTGCAAACGTCAAATATAGCTTGTTCTAAATGTAGCACAAGTGTATGATTCAGCATACATATGCGTATGATGCTTGACACACAGCATGTATGCAGGTATATGATGCTTAAAGCATTTGTATGGTATAACTATGCTTTAGAATATAAGTCACCTTACGGCTATGTAACTAGCTCATTTCCATCATTTGTTGTCTGATTTTTGGCCTTTAATTTGTATACTATCAAATTCGATGAACTATGAAGTAAAAGGCAATTTAGTTGCCCTTCATACCTGCGAGACCTGGACCGCGATCTGGATCGTGAGAGGGAGGATCTTGACTCGGAGCCTGACCGTGACGGTGTACGGGACAGGGAGCGGGACAGTTCTGAGTCAGAGTCTGACAGGGATGGTGACAGGCTGTCCTCACTGTTGGTGTCACTGAGACTGGGAGAACGACTGGTCCTGTCTCTGGAAATGGGAGGACAATGTCAATCAGCAAAGGAGGAAAAGTGTTATGTTTTTGCATGCCAGTGGTAGAAATACTTTTTTTCAGTGTTCTGCAATATTGCAGTATGTCAAAATTTTGTTCTGCAATTTGGAAATACTTTCTCCAAACACACACTTAAAAGTCCAGATCTAAACCCATGGCATTATAGAAAATTGCATGTTGGCAAACATTTTACTTGCAATTTGAAACATACTTACATGTATTACAGAGTCAGTAGTAAGCACAAAAGCTCTTAAACAACCTTGCCTGATTTTTTTTCAGTCTGCAAAACTGCAATATTGAAAATGTCTTTGCAAAATGCAGACTGCAGATGGGTATTTCTAACACAGCATGCTGTCTTCTTGTTGCTACTTATGCATCACAAATCAAATTAGCATTCTTGATTTGATGAGCAGCAGAATGTGAAGACTTACTTTTTAGGTGAGACTGGCTTGTCCTTCAGGCTCTTCCGTTCTGAAGCCTATGGAAAGAACACAGGAAAGTCTGTCAGAAGCATGTCAAAAGTGGTCAAGATAATCACCCCACATAATGATTGGTGACTACAGAATTAAAGACAACTTCACCAGCTAGATACAGCAAAAGATTGGAGATGGAGTTTAACTCATGGAACACTACAATGTCCTATGAGACATTGTACTCAGTGTACAGGTTTTCTACTTTATAATACAATGTATCAGTTTATGAAGTGCTAATGAACCACTAGTGATCCACCAACAAAAAAGACCTTTATCCCATATGTAACATTACCACTAAAAGTCCTAACAGAGATACAACACCACAAGACAACATGCAAAATCAGCAGCAGATATGAGACACCCAGAGAAGTCCCCAGAAATGTAGACTAGAGAGAAGATTTTTTTCAAGCTAACACTGACTACAGCAGAGACCTTTGGTTTGTCTCCACTGGGTGCCTTTCCTGCTGCCTCTTTAGCCACAGGTTTTCCACCCCTGGTGGGAGCATCTGCAGCCTCATTATGGAAGAGATGGGCATTATAAGTACCAAGTCTATTGAAATACAAGCCACAGCACATCACGTCATTAATACCACATTTTAGGAGTTGCGACTACCAACTACTGCTGCCCTTATATCTGTGAACATTTATTCAATTCACAAACATGATACCAAGGTACCAGTATGTGTCAGCAAAAGGACTTTTAAGTGCAAAGCATGCTGAAGGCACAATAATTGAAGGAACAAACTCTTACAGACAAGCATACATGTATACTGAACTCCTTAGGTACCTTTTTGGTAGAACTGACAGGCTTTGCCCCAGACTTGGCTTCAGCTGGCTTCTTTGCAGGAGGTTCAGGACCCTTCTTTTGACTACAGGGAGAGATAAAACAAGGGACATTCAATATCTAACTTAACATTAAGAATCCAAACGCTTCTAAGACTGGAATATGTACATTTTATCATATGTTGACTTAGTCTACCATCTAAAAGGAGGGTAGATATTATGGATAAAATGAAACAAATGTGTATTATCAAAAGCTGAAAAAAGAGGCACAGTGGGTTGAAAGTGGATAGATGTAACCAATGAAAGGTGGGATGGTGGGTACCAGTATGAGCACATACTAAAAATATGTGAATTGTGAAGTATGTTTTAAAACACTTTTTCACACAAGCAGTTGAGTACTGGCTATTTAGGTGGCCTTGAGAGGAAGAAGGAAGAGTTAAGAATATCACTGGGTAACAATTTAGTCACCTTGGCTTTTTGTCTTTTGTTGCTTCAGTTCTGAAATGACAAAGGAAAACAAAAATTGGAAATATCCAGGGATTAACACCCCACCAACTGTAGAACTTCTACAACATTAGCAAAAACTTTCAGCTTTTAATAAAATTTCCCTGAAGCACCATAACAAACAATTCTTCTGTAATCTACATTACAATTACAAATTCCTTATATTTTAGGTCCAGACATCTTAAAATTACAAGGAAAACATGTGAAGACCAATGTTACATTAATATCCATGGAAGAGGCCACAATAAGCCCTGTAAATATACAGGGGAAAAAATGAAGTACATACTTTGCTGTCTTTTCTTTTGCCTTTGGAGGTGGTGCCTTTGATGTCTTTTCTGACGAAACTTCCTTCCTGTGAAGTACAAGATATTGTAACACTTAGGTCGATGCAATATACATGAAGTTTAACAGGCAAATGATGAACACAGATAAGTTTTTTGCTAATTTCTGCCCGAAGGCTAATTGCAAATAACAAAGATAAAAGATCATTGAAACAGGGTACAAAATAACTTCAGAATCTACATAATAACACAAGGAAAATTGTCTAAAACTATGGCTATGTATAGAACTATGTCTTAAGGGTTTGACATAGTGCAAAGAGGTGTCAGTAAGTTTAGTGTATTCCTTGTTACTAGATCAGTTGTGGAAAGGTTCTTACTTAGCAACAGTTGGTGGTTTCTTTTCAGCTGCCCCCTCTTTTTCCGTTGCTTCTTTCTTCTTTGGTGATTGGCTGGTTTTCCTCTCCGGTGAGGGTGACATGGAGCGGCTGCTGCTGCGCCCGGAGCGGTACGAGCTCCCGGAGGACGAGCGGCTGGAGTAGGAGGAGTAGGAGGACGACCGGGAACGCGAAGACAGGCTGTGGATGCGAGGGACGAAAGTTTGAAGCTTTAATACACATCTATTCCATTACCTATACATCAATATATAAAATAATCAATAACCTTTACCAATACCAGTTTAAGATAGCAGACCCAGAAAACTCAATGCTGTCCTTTTTCTGAAGCTAAACATTGTCGTTCCATCTGTATCGGTATAGCCGGTATAACCGCCCTGGGGCATAACACACCAGCTATCTTCGCAGGCACGCGGCACGGCAGCAGCTACCTATATCATACCGCATGGCTTGTTACACTGAATCTTTGCATATTTAATTGCAGGAGTTGTTTAAAGCTTTCTAGTGATGATGCCCCAACTGTGCTTGGTGGCAATGAGTTCCACTCTACAATAGTTCTTGGAAAATATGAGTTTTTCAATCCCTTAATTCTTGGTTGATATTTGAAGGCATGACTGTTTCTCATACTTTTCTGGGCTGGTACCTGATACTTAGATAAGACAACTTACTCAAAATATCTCCAAGGTGGAGCTACACCAAGGCATGACTTTTTAAATTAAAGAATGGAAACATCAACCAAGCTTGGTACCTAGAAGAGCCAGAATAAGACACAGATGATCGGCGAGACGACGACCGCCTTCTTCTGCGTCCCCGCGACCGACTGCGCCGAGGAGAGGCCTTCCGACCTTTCGGAGACTTCGACCTGCGCCAGGGATCCTTCCACTCGTCTGCTCGAACCCGCGGCGCTGTGGCCTCTGACCGCGGCGGACGATCCGGACGGTTGGGCCTGTCTGGCCGGTCCGGTCTCCCTTCTTGTCTCGGACGGTCTGGCCGGTCGTCTCGAGGTCGGCGAGGCGGTCTGAAAACAGACATAAAGGATCTCTGGTCAGAAGTTATAAGTTAGTTTGAAAGGTGAAACATATGCTGTGTGCCACTACTAAAATATGTTTACATTTGCTTTGAAATGGAAGTTCTTGAAAACAAAATCATGTCACACACCTTTGAGCCACTGGAGGTCTGGGGCCTCTTCTGTAAGTAAAAAAACACATCAACATTTCCACTTGCCTAAAAAATTATGCATATAACCAAACATGGCTGTTCAACCAAGCTGGGTCAACCTTTAGAATTTATTTACTGCTTTTAAAAATACATGTACGTAACATGATTGCTAGAACTACACTAATCCAAGTGTGCCTAGTACAATCATATTGTATAAAATCATCACCTGAAGTTTACATGAACCATCTGTGATGACAAACCCTGTACATGTATCTGTACACAGTACATGTATCTTGTATCAAACAAGGTCACAACCTGATACAGATAGAAGCTACGTCATGACACTTCTATTTATATTGAACCTGACCTTGCTTGGTGACTAATTTGGATGCCAGTTTCCTTTGTAGTTTAAAGCATTAATCGCTACTATGTTTCATCCATTATGTTTCACCTAGTATAGCGTAAGTAAAATTTTTAAACTGTTAGTTTATATGATCAGTTATCAGGCCGTAACCTCAAAAGTGGTCGGTTATTGGAATAATCAACCACTTTTTGGACCGTACCATTATACAGGGGACAGAACACTAACAGTAGTGTTAAGACCTGTAGTATTTATCTATCAAAAACATATTGTAGTTTATTTTGAAAAATTTATTTCACAATACAACACAATTATCATATTGTACTTGTAGTACCACCGAATAAACCACCAAGTGAGCGTAGTGAACAAGGTGGTTTATTCAGTGGTTATCGCACCTGAGGAGGGATGATCTCACCATATACACCGAGGATAAGGCAGGGCATTAACCCTTCATTATTTCCCTACCCGCGTATTTTATCCCACGTATTTTACAGTCACTTTGATGAACGTACCTTTCAGGAGGGGACATAGATCTGGGCCGACGATCCCGTCGTCTGTCCCGCATCCTTTCCCTGTCAGCTCTCTCACGCTCCCTCATTCTCATCTCCCTTTCTCTCTCCCTCTCCCGCATTCGTTCCTGCAATCAGACCAGAAGCATGAGAAATGTTTTTTTCCTTTTTCTTAAAATATGACAGAACTAGCCACGATGCAAAGGTTTCGTGCAGAGTAACATGGTTTGCTAAAAATAATCACCTGGTACACAGACCTGCAGAATAACCAGCAGAAATATCTGTACCTAAAAAGTAATTGCTCCAAACCAAGTTCCAAAAGAAGGACAATTTTGACAAATACATGCAATGCAAGTTTCTTGCTTTGTTTTCATGCTGTGAACAGAAAGTTTGCATGCTACATGTAGATCTGAACCAAACACAAACCAAAAAGAATCCATCAATTCAATGACAATGTTTTAGCTTTTGCTTATTTTGTTTTCCTCCTAACCTGTCTTTGTTTCCCTCCTGTTGGTGAGGGTTCCGCCGCCTCGAGGAACAAGAAACAGAAGTTACTATGAAAGAACCTCACACCTCTACACAATGTAAAATACAGCTGGAGATTTCATCCAACAGGACTACGTTGTTTCTCACGTTCCGAATAAAAATAATTGACACACCTTTTGTGCAGGTGTATCTATGTACTACATACAAAGAAGATGTTATGGCAACATTATGAAAAAGGAACATTTTGTTCCAATAATACACCAGCAAGACAGTATGTATTTATTTATCTGTAACTTTGTGTCAGGACTCTGACTGTACAGTAAACATAATGACTCTTAACTTAAAAGTTAAAATTAGAAGAGAATAAAAGGCAGTGCAGTACAACTCTTGTCATTTCTGATGAAGACTTTATAATAAAAAGTCGAAACCGGTAAACTCATAGTCTCAGCTGTCATCCTTCTGACGAATCCTAGACTTGAGAGTTTAAGTTCTTTACTGACAAAATGAGCAAAGGTACAGTATCTGTGTACATGTACTAGGACTGTAGACTCACCCTATGTACAGTGTAGTGTGGCTCAGGTTCCCTGGTCCAGCGTACGCTGAAGTTCTCGTACTGACCAGGCTGCCAGTACTGATCGGGAGGTGGTGGCTCAAACGGGTAATCTGGCTCTTCTTCCTGGAACCTACGATACAGGTAGAAGCATGCATGGGGTTTAGACATCTTAAAGCCTAGGAAAAAAATGTTGTGTTTCCTGTTTCAGTCCTGAAAAAATTAGGGGTCGGTAGGAAGGGATTATCTTTTTTTCCTTTTTTTTTAGACTTCAGTGATATCTATATAGGGGTCCTACTTATACAATACAGTTTAACAAAGTAAAACTTGCATGAGGACACTTTTATTTTCAATGTCAATGTTAGAAAACCAATCGTACAACGTTATATCACTCAGGTGTCAAGTTTTAAATTTATGTCCCTTGTAGGGGTCCATCCCCCAAAAAGTCTAGGGTCGGCAGGTTTTTCTAGGGTCGGTCGGGAAACAAGAAACACAACATTTTCTTTCTAGGCCTAAATAGTGATTCAGTGAGTAGGATACAATAGGAACCCTTTTCCACCCTATAAAATTGTTATGGCACCCTTAGAAAACGAAAGGAAATCTATGGAGATGGAGACAGACAAAATGTAGCTTTATTGCAGAATTTGCTTTTACCCAAAATGGCCTTCTGTCCTGCTGGCCTGCCTCCTGAAGAAGTCGTTCTCCTTGTTGTTGTCGAATTCCTCTTCAGGGAGGGACAGGTTCATACGCTTGTCTTCAAAGTCTTCGTCCTGTTCCTTACGCTGCATGGCTTTCTTACGAAGCTGGAAAAAAACATAAAAATGTGTGAGATAAGCATCAATCTTTCTAAGTTTCTGTGTTTCTCTGTCTTGAATATATCTATGACTACCAATTATAGAAACATCTGATGTCTTTCAGCTTGGGGACACAACTGTACTGTACTCATTTTAGAGATATGATCATAACCACATGAACGCTTCATGTGGTGATGTATCTTGATATTGAATCACTCATATTCATCTAAGTCACGTCTTTCTAGTTTATCGAAATAACAACTCTAGCCCTCTTAGTCTTACCTCTTTAGCATGCCTTAGTCCCCTCTCCCAGGCTGACTCCACTGGAGGTTCCACTACGGGTGGGGGAGGCATATCCTCTTCTGCATGAACTGGAGCGGCCTAGGGACAGAAAAGAAGTGAGATAAGCACAAGTGAACAAGACTAGAGGAACATACACTCTAATACTTATGTACACTATTGAAAGACAAGTGATCCAAACTGATTTGTAATTATGTTTACCGAAGGAAAACTTTGTATGTATTTGCTCTGGTTCTTCTTCCTCCTCTTCTCCAAACCAAAAAGGTCAATGACCTGAACCAGACTGTCTGTTACCATGGTTACTAGTGTTGGGTTACATCATGTTGCAATTTTATAGCAGGAGGGATTAAGACTCCTGTCTGACCATATATATATGAGTGTTTGAGTAAGAATTAACAGCAGACCATAAGCGAAGGTTAACAATATGCATTTGCTTTCCAAATGTTACCTTTCTAGTTAGTGTTAGCTATGTGTACACTACAACTTTCTGTCACATATACATGTACTTATGGATTAATACCTACTACATCCTACACAATACATGAAAAAGTCAAAAAGGTACATACCCACATGTTGGGCCCCATGGGATGGGGACCCAGAATGCCTGGCCCACCAAACTGGTTCTGGTACCTGTCAATCATGGAGTAGGCACCTACAATAGACCAATGGAAGGAGGATTAACTAAAAACAAAATCTACATGTTGTACTATTAGCCTCCTTTGCAGACGTTATGGGATCACGCGATCACGCTGATCAAATGTAGATTGCACGCAATAGAAGCTCAGGCCACCAACCCTACATAGCTTTCCAGGGATAGCTATGTAGGTTTGGCGGCCTGGAACAGGGATAGCTATGTAGGGTAGGCGGCCGGAGTTTCTATTGCGTGCAATCTACGTTAAAAATCCCCCCCCCCAAAAAAAGATGGATATCATCCCAGAACGTCGGCAAAGGAGGCTACTAGGAATAATAATGAAGTTTCTATGCCTTGAAAACGTCATGAATATGTAACACCAACGAAATTGTTGGAAGTACAGTACTTCCAATAGTCAAATTTCTTACTTATGCAACTAGAACAGATAACAGAGTAACTGGACATCGCCTACCTTTGTCATTTATACCTGGATGCAGAAATCTACATGAAGCTCCCCAAGTACAGTTGCCTGTAGAAATCAGGAGAATAAAATTAATGTACAAGACTTACTAGGCAATACTTGTGCATTGTTATTGTTATGATGTGCTGATATATTTGTCTGTGGATCGGCTCAGAGACATGTATCTCTTTAGTGGACAAAACTATGAAGTCTACAATTATTTTATAAACAATTTTCAATACACATGATATATAAATAACACATGAACACATGTCTTATATTCAGTACTGTCACAGTGCTATCATCTAGACAACAGAGTAGCACACCTTTGACATAAAATCTACACAACGAGCGCTGCAGGGGTTTTCTTCCTGATGGATCCTTCACTTCTCCCTCTTCCAGGTCATCATCCTTTACAAAAACAAAGAACAGTACCACAATTAATCTATGCAAGAAATATTTCTTATCTCTGGTTTCTTATAAAACTGTCTTGTTGTACAGATATATTCACTTTTATGTATCACGCTCATGTGAATACAAGCTCTCTTGCTACCGGTAACTCTCAATTTAGTTTAAGACAACCTACCTCTCCAAGTTCCCCATCATCATCATCTTCACCTTCCTCACTCTTCTCCCCATTGTCAGTGGCCTCCTGAGTTCAGGCAAGATAAAAATAGAGGATAGAGCACTTGTAAAACTGACATTGTGATAATAGATGTGATATCAATATGTACAACACAATCTTAACCGTGCAACAACTGTCCCAAAAACCAAACAATTACTGTCTACCATGCACATCAATTTTTGAAGAGCAATCATGACTTCAGTACTAGTAGTCAACTACTGGATTAATGACATAATTGGTCGAATCAAAAACATAGTCACAAACCTTCTTTTCCTCATCTCCTTCCTCCTTGTCCTCCTGACCCAGTTTGTTGGATGTGTCTGGTTCTGGCTGGTCTGGTTCCTCGCCTCCATGGACCGACGTATGTTCCTCCACATCCTCATCATAGTCCAGCTCAGCTTCATGTTCATCTAACACAGGCGTCGCTGCATCAGATTGGTCAGCAGTCACATGGTCCACCTTCAACAACACTTTCGCTGTGCTGCCCACTGATTGGTCGGCTGAGACCCGATCTGATTGGTCAGCTACACCTGACTGCTCTGCCCTGCTGCCATCTGATTGGTCAGCTACAGTACCTTCTGACTGAGCAGTGGTGACGCTGTCTGATTGGTCAGCAGCATCATGACCCGACTGGTCAGCTGAATCACAAGCATACTGATCTATGCTGACACCTGATGGTTCAACCACAGCCCCGTGAGCTGATTGGTCAGCTTTCGGACCCCCACTTTCTGACTGGTCAGGAGCCTGGTCTGTCGAATCTGATCCAACAACTGGAACCTGGCTTGAATCTGATTGGTCAGGTAAGCTAAAGGCCAGATCTATCAGATCACTTGGACTGGTGGAACTTCCTACATCCTGGGCACCTACATCTCTCCTTTCATTACTGCTCTCTACTGCCTCTCTCCTCTCCCCATGTGTCACACTTTCCTCGGCTTCTCGGACCTCAAGATCGAGATCGTCATCATCATCATCACTAAAAGACTGTGACACCACAGGGGCCTGTTGTTGTGCGCTTGTACCATTCACAGCACTGCTATCTGCCTCTTGATCTGAATCGTCAGAAATGTTCTCAATGACGTTGTCCGGTGAATTTAGTTCTCCGTCTGAGACATCACTATTGTCTGCAGGATCCTCTTCCAGCAAGGCATCATCAGCGTCATCTTCATTGTCATCTGAAAGGTCGGGCTCTTCTTCCCCGAGACTCACCGGGGATCCCTCATTGTCAGCTGCCTCCATTGCAGCCACTTTTGTACTAAACACGTATCTCTGCTCCTGGTCCTGAAATGAAGGATGTCTGACTTAGTGAATGTTATTTTACCTAAGCTGACATCCTAGCCAACAAGGATGGCACAGATTATCAAGCTCTCTCAATTCCACAAGAAATAACTAAAATTGAAGCTGTTTCCAACACCATACCAGTACACGATACGTAAATGTGCGAGTAATTGCCGAAATTGCATCGATAGCAATCTCGTTAACTTCCGTTCATCAAATTACTAAAGAAAGCAAGGCAAAAACGTGTTCGAAAAAAACAGAGATGGGGAGGGCGGAATTTTAGGGAAGGGTCGGATACATGGTGAAAATGTATGGCGCTAAGCTTCAACTATGTAGCTAAACGTTTTAGTCCCACACCAGCTAAGAATGTAAGCGACAGAGCTAACTTAGGAAGAAACAGAAGCATTAACGCATGAGTTGTAAAACCGCGAGGACGATTTTTCTTCGCCCATCACACGTTTGGGAACAACAACGCCGCCATGGCCTAGAAAATGTCTACCAGAAACTCTTACCCGCAGAGCCAGTACAGGAGGCCGATCACCGAAAAAATTGGTCACGATTTACAGAAGTAGTTTCCGCGGTTAAAAGCTAAGACTTTGGTAAGAGTATACGTTAAGCAATTGTTGAAAAAGTACGCAAAGACGCCGACAGATTGCGGTCACTCACGCACGGCAAGCGCCGCCATTACTAGAAGCAGCCTTACGTGCTCATTGGTCAATTTGCATCACCTGACCTAAACAGGGCCACCTGGCGAGATACCTTTAGGACAGCAGGTTGTGGTAACAAATGAAAATGTTGTGTGTGTATAGAAGTTTGTTCCAAGTACAATATCCCGTTCTTTGGTGAAATTTACCACCTTAAGATATGATTGAAGTGATGTTTAAAAATGAAATCGTCCTTTTATTGAGTTATGCAGAAGTGTCATGTATCAAGGATCCCCACCACAATGGCATGCCCCAGCCGTCACGTGACACGAACAGGTGAGACAAGTCAAATTTTCTTTTCCAGCTTTGGAGAGAGGAAACGTCAGGCGGTGGGGCAGAACTTTTGTTTCCCCGCCCTTCTCCTGGGTCCGTTATGGACGGTAAGGGGGACCGAGAGCCTCTCCTGGGCCAGGAGTCCGCGGGTGTGAGGGAAAGGCACACGGGCTCGGCGGAGCAGGCCGAGAAGGGGGAACGGGACATCACCAAGGAGGAGTGGTTCCAGGAACTGAGCAAGAAGGTTTACCTGGCACGGCGCAAGAAGCCCGACCCTTGGTGGGTCACCGCTTTGGAGGTATGCAGAATTCTGTCACCGTGGAGGGAGGGTCTGCATGCCCTTTTTCGTTAACCGTTATGGGCTATTTTAATTTACCGTTAATCGTTACCGGCCCGCTCTAATTCAACGTTAAGCGTTATCAGTATATTCCTCGTGAAGCGTTATGGGTCGTTTTAAATTATTCAACGTAAAACGTTATTTGTCATCCTAAATTCAGCGTTAACCGTTAATGACTAATTCTTCGTTACACCTAATTTTGCCTTTCAAAGTGCAGGAAAATGCGTCATTGAAGGTTTAAAAATACAAAATTTCCCAGGGGAGAATGCCCCCGGACCCCCCTACATTGCTCGCGCCTTTGGCGCTTGACTCGCGCTTCTGCGCTCGGTCCCTTCGGCTCTAGCCAGAACCAGTTTTACCTTCAATTTCCGGAAGTTTGCGGAGAGTTACAGAATTTTTTTAACGAATCCGTCAACCTTGACAGGCAAGTTAACAAAAATCTTGAGTAAAATATGAAAACATCAGAAGGACCGACAAACACTCTCAACACCATGATTTGCCTCTCAAAATGCGGGAAATTGCGTTTTTGAAGGCTTAAAAATCCAAAATTTCCCGGGGGAACATTCCCTGGGACCCCCATAGATTACGAGCGCCTTCGGCGCTCCCGCCTCTCAAAATCCATCGGTAAAACTGGGCAGACTGAAAAAATGCAAGCTGGCCGACGTCGACTCGGACACCCCGGTATTTGTGGACACACTCGGGGACCAGGGCAGGTGGGAAACACAGGGAACACATACCTTTAATGCATGCTTCATTACATGTAAGGTATACGTAATTTTGTCAGTGTCCAGTGCAGCTCTAAAAAAAGCCTGTCAATTTACCGTTAAGCGTTGCCGACCGTCCTGAATTTACCGTTAAGCGTTATCGGCCCTGCTGAATTTACCGTTAACCGTTGCCAGGACCCCCCATGCAGACCCTCTGGAGGGGCTGGGAGGGAAGTCTTTAGAGAAAGTCGATTGTCGAGGTTTTGCCAACATTTTCCTCACAAATGAAGATGATGTTATGTTTCTTTCTTTAGATTTTGATGTCATATTGATGTCGACCTGAATTGTCCCCTTACAGGTGTGTTAGTTGGTAATACAAAATGCAGGTAACTTGATCCAGTGAATGTTTTTCTGTAGAATTATGTCAAAAGACCAGACATTTTAACATGAAATGTAGGCATTATTAAAGTTCATTTCTCAGCATCATTAACAGATATTAAGTTTTGTGCCAAGGCATGTTCCAGAATACCAAATTTTAGATGCTCCTGAACACCTGACAGAAAACATTAAAAGGAATTTTATCTGTAAGATCTAGAACTTTCTATTAAAGCTGCTCCCTGCAGACAAAACCCCATCATAATTCCAGTTGTAGGTCCTCTGGACCGATCTATTATATAAGTTCTACATTATTTTTGTTTCAATTCCAGGAGGAAATATCTCCTTTCCAAATGCCCCAATTCAGCACCATACTACGTAACAGAGATCATGTCCTAACTGCATTTTATGTAAGTGTGCAACCCTCACAATATTGCAAACCTATTTTCTTTGACTTTCTGGCAATGAGGTTGCATGTTAACAACAAGGACAAAGACTGGATTGACAAAGAATGGATTTTGTATAAGATATATATATATAATGTTATAGCAATGTATATACTGTAGTGTACTAGTGTTATAACTTATATCGCATTGCAATGGTGCAATTTTACAGTCTGACTGCATGTAGTCATTAGGGTGTGTAACGCTATGCTGAACAACAATAGGTGCATCAATAATTCAGTGATTGACTGCACAGGATTACTCGGTGTGACTTCTGCTGCCATGACAACCATTGACACGTCAATGGTGGTCGTCCTTTTGTCTGTTATTATCTCGCTAGTAAGTGGTTGGGTTGAAATGAAATAGAAAATGTACAGGAGAGAATGTTCTAGCATTGCAAACTAGGCTTTAAATAGAATGTGTTACCTGATGTAGAAAATTTAATTTTGAGTGAAAAATGCATTGTTGGGCTTATTCAGTAACCCAGCATTAAGGTTAAGACCCATGTATTGTGTCAAATTGGTGTCTGGTATCAGTCTTTTGACATGTTCGATTCTTAACCTTTTTAACTGTAGATTGGATCAGTGTTCGAGAATTCTGGTGCATGATGATGACAAAAGGCCCACCTACATGTATTAGTAGTCATTACATTATATGGAGCGAAATGGACATAGGTATATCTCCTGGGTTTTTAAAAGACAGCATCAAAATAGAAACAAAGAATTCTGAGTAACGTCTTCACACCAACTAGACATTGACAAGTGGCCAACTGTTCCATGTTTGTAGATCCACTTCTGTGGAGGGTTGGTGATCTCCTAAATATTTTCCCATCTCCTGTTGATACAGTCTGGCTCAGGAGGTCATGTTTAGGTTAGGGTATTGACAGGGTTTGGATACAAACCTAAGAGGCCAGCGCTGAAGGTTATGCCAAAGTTGCATTCCATAGCCATATATGTAATCATTTACTGTGGCAGTGGCTTGTGTGGGTGGGTGGGTGGTACATGAAGGTAAAAGGCTGAAGAGCTATGTGTGCCTTGGAGTGTTTTAAATGTGCTTGGAGTGTTTTAAAGATGTATCCAGGCAAGGTACACACACACACACAGCTACAATATTGAAAAGTACAAAGTTGCAAGCCTAGGATAAAAAATCCAGATGGATTTTCCTTTTGATCACTCGTCATTATCTACTCCTACTCCATATTTTTAAGTATACTATTAATTTCTATAATATGGAAAAATTTAAATTAGATTCACTTTAGGATTGAAAAATTAATATGCTGGATTGGGAGGATTAAGTTCCCATTTTTATGTTTACCGAAGGAAAACATTGTTTTTGCTCTGTTTCCTTTTTTCCAAACACCAAAGGTCAATGGCCTGAACCAGTCTTAGACTATCTATCACCATGGTAACTAGTGTTGGGTTACATCATGTTATAGCAAGAGGGATTTAGACTCCTGTCTGACCATATAATATGAAAGTGTTTGAGTAAGAATGAACAAAGCAGACCATATGTGAAGGTAAACATTATGCATTTTGCCTTGCAAAGGTTACCTCTATAGTTCACAATAAACTCTGTACTTGCTCCACAGGTCCTGGTCATCCTGTTTGTGGTGGGATCTGCCTACTATGCCTACAACTACTTTGAACACCTGCACTTCCATGTGACCAATGGCTACGCTCACCTGGGGTACCCGCAGGCCCAGCACTTTGTGGCACACAGGTACCTGGAGGGGAGAGGAGTGGACAAGGACCATAGGATGGCCATGGACTGGATGAGGTAGGTCACTAGTCAGGTTTATAATACAGGTTCTTTATGAGTACATGAAGACACTGAATGATTGTTTTACCTCCTTGTAGTCTTCATGTCCCCCTATTGCCCAACATGTATATAAATACCTATAAGGCTCACTTGGATTTTTTCCTACTAGTACTTTTCCTACTAAACAACAGTCAAGAAAGGTTTCATGCTGAACCTATCTGTTTGTGTATTGATGGTATACCTGCAGGAAGGCAGCTGACCAGGGTCACGCCCATGCTGCATACAACCTTGCCATTGCTCACCTGAAGGGTCTGGAAACAGATGTCAAGGATGGGTAAGACATTGCTTTTTTACCTCCATGAAATGGAAGGTATTGTTTTTGGCGCGTCTGTGTGCGTGTGTGTGTGTGTGTGTGTGTGTGTGTATGTGTGTTTGTGTTTCCGCTTTTTTGTACCTTCATAACTCCATAACGCCTTCATGGATTGTAATGATATTTGGTATACTGGTAGGTGTTAGGGGGGCGAAGGTCAAGGTCAAATATGGGCCTCCTGGTGGATGGCCTTGGTACTGCAGCAGCACTTCCGGTTTAATGAGGAATCTCCTTTGCAGCCAACAGATGTGTCATTGTGTGGCTATCGAGTCAGTGCGCTTGGGACCCGGTTTGATTAATGGGGTTCCCTCAGGGGAATAGGTGACCTATTTCAGGGTTAGGGATTTGTATTAGCTGTGTGTTTGAAAAACTTAGTGTACTGTATACAAAAACTCATATATTTCATGGAGGCGCGTCTGTGTGTGTGTGTGTGTCTGTCTGTGGGTGTGTCTGTGTGTTTGTGTTTCCGCACATTTGTAGTCAGCATAACTCCATAACGCCTTAATGGATTGCGATGATATTTGGTACGCTGGTAAGTCTTAGGAAGACAAAGGTCAAGGTCAAATATGGGCCTCCTGGTGGATGACCTTGGTACTGCAGCAGAACTTCCGGTTTTTGTATCTTTTGTCCTAAACATGCTATGGTCTTGACTTTCTGGTGACAGATAGCTTTTTTTGTCAGGAATAAGTGGCGTGAGTTTGGTCCCCCTAGCAGCTTGTTTTGGAACTGCAGGAGATTTTCGGGCGAAATATTTAAAAGCCAATAAGTCCAGATAGGAACAAGGTATTATCATCATTTTTGGTAGGTAGGTAGCTGAGAGAGAGATGTACATAATTAAATGCAAATTATGCAAATGATGACTTAATTTGCATAATTAATGAGGAAATTCTATAATTACAGTGTTTTACATTATAGTACTTTTATACATGTAATGTATGTAATCTATGGCAGATGGAACATCAACAGATACCAATTATGCAAATGATGACCTAATTTGCATAATTAATGCGAAAATTCTATGACTCCTTAGTCGTAAATGATGGGAATTTCATACTTGGTACATGTGTAAGTTAATCAAAAGTTAACATCACGATGCATTTATTATGTTAATGTGGAGGCAATTTACATAATTAAAGAAGAAATTTACATTTACATGTCAAGCCCATATTTCATGGAGGTATGAGATCTCAGAACTCTTGTTTTGCTTGTATTCAAAGGCAGATAAAAGCTTGCAGTAAGGTAGTAGTCAGTTATATAATATACATTCATTTGTTATACTGTAATAATTTTTCCTATCGTTTTGTACAGGGAAGCCAGGAAACTTCTGGAACATGCAAACAACAATGGCGTGAAGGAGGCACATGATGTGCTCCACAATGTCTGCTATGCTGGGGGAAACTGCTAGGGGGCGCCCATTCAAATGTTCCCTTTGGGACAATCTTGGCAGCTTCTTGCAGCATAACAAGGATTTTTAGATTTCTAAAGGAGCTGATGGGGGGGGGGGGTTACTTGTGTGAAGAAAACACAATGCTTGCTGCAATGTTAACTGGTTTTGTTATGTTTTCCTTTGTTTATATCTAATACCTTTGCTGTATTTATCATTCATATCTTGCAAACCTTGTTTAGCACTTATATGATAAAACAGCTATTAAGAACTTCAAGACTTTGTGTGCAATATCTATTCAGAAAGTGGTGTATCTAAAGGACCAGAAGTGCTCTTGACAATCAAACTATGTTCAGCCTGTGGAAATGTGGTGAACAGACTAGTGAGTCCAAAAGTGTTCCGACCAAGTAAAATTGTATCAGACATCCTGTCCCTACACTGAAACAACTCTCCTGGCATGTATTTGTCCAACTGTGGGAAGGATGGCACTGCTGCTTTTTGTGAAAGTCCTCTTTGTGGTATTATGATACAATCTTAAATTATAATTGAGTTAAACTTCTATAGTATAGTAATGCAGTTACAACTCGTCAAATGTTATCATTTGTAGGAAGATTTAGTTGTTGCTGCCATTCCAAATTTTTCACAGCTTATGGAAATATGGAGCTTATCTGTTGCTGCTGTATCATAGGCAGAGCATTTTTTTTTACTTTGTACCATTTTTTTTATTTTATCTCATTGATCATAAGACTTTTATCATTTCTGTCCTCATTGAGTTGACTTCTGCATAGTTTCCATCATGCAGTTATAACTTTTTAAATGCTATCATGTGTAAGTATCATGTGTTGCTGCCATTCTTTATGTTCCATAGCTTGTTACATTTGGCAACACCTCATTTTTTACTTTGTGTCTTTTTTTATTTTATCACATTGATAGATCATAGGACTTTTATCATCTCTGTCTCTCTTGTACATATTATTTTTCCATCAACCAAACATACATATCAGTAAGGGAAAAGGCTACACTGGCTACTAACCTTACCATCATAGCTATGCAATGTGTTGTTGGACCAATGTTTCACCAAGTCATCGGTCATTTTTTGTAGTATAGCTTGTGCTTATTAATCAGAGTTGTTGTTGTCATGTATTTTAAAGTAGCTTCTTCTAATGGTGCAGTATCCTGGAAATGAACGTACACACTAGTGCCTTCAATATACAATACTATAAAGATATCATACCATATCAAATATCTATAAATGTCATGTGGGACCTATGTTTCACCAAGTCATGATCATCAGTCATTTTTGTAGTATAGCTTGTGCTTATTAATCAGAGTTGTTGTTGTCATGTATTTTAAAGTAGCTTCTTATAACGGTGCAGTATCCTGGAAAGGAACATACACACTAGTGCCTTTAATATACAATGCTATAAATATATCATACCATATCAAATATCTATAAATGTATAATTTTACTGGTATATCAACTGATCTATGAAGAGTATGGTGTGAGTAGTTGGTAAGGGATAACAGAAGGTGTTGTACTCATTATGTATACCAGTAGTTTCAAAGCATGTGATGTTGCAAGGTACTTGGAGTTATGTCTTAAATGTGTTGTAAGTTATGTGTTGAGAACAGTAACAAATTAAGTGAAGAGGTATAACCTTACAACTGTGTTACAATACAACAGAAAATCTCAATATTAGGATAAGTTTTCTGCAATCCTGTTAGCTTCTCCAGTATTAACTTCTGAACAAGGTTCAGACATATCAACATATTAAAGCTGTTTCCATACTAGGGATTTTGATAGACAGACTTCATCACTGACCAAACATTTAATATTTGTCGACCCATTACCTATAACCTGATTGTGTCCTAACAAGGGGTGGAGGGATTGTATGGAAATGCAGATATTTAGATTTATGATTTAGTTTCTTGTGACAATCATATTTAATGGGATTTTATTGATCAGAAAATCTGCAAAATCATGTGATGTTTTGTCCCCCTTACAATCCTACCTTTCCTTACATTTAGTTACATCTGCTGGTGTATGTATTACTATTAAGGTGAGTGTGTTATGACTATTTATGTAATATCAATGCATGCAGTATTCATTCCTATTGTGGAACTACTCAAGAGATATCAAATAATCTGTTGAACTGTGTGTTACAAATAAAACACCTCAAACAATAACATGACTTTCTTTTACTTGCTTGACATCCAAATATCCTGTTTGTTCAAATAACAAACAGCACTACTCCCCTCCCCACAATCTTCCTGTTCCGCTTGTGAAGGTCGCGAAAGGAGAGATGTCCGTGGTCGGTCTTCATCGTCCTTGTCCTTCACATGCTTCGTCCTGCACGCGCAAGTCGGCGAGTCGGGTATCATAAATTTGTAGCTTGTATTTGTACTTCGTTAAAAGTACGACAGATATATAACAGCGAGCAGATTATCATTGGACTGAGCAGAGCACTTTGGACTAATGCCTCTGGCTGTTTACAGCTTTATAAATTAGAGGTACACATCCAATCTTTTGTCAAAAACTTCTCTGTTACATTACGGTGGTCTTCACTCTTCGTTAAAAATGGAAAGATTTATTCCAAAGATCTCAATATTTTAGACGAAATCTTAAGATCTTATGAGACAATCTCAAGATCTTTCAGAAAATCTTAAGATGAAAACGAAAGGTATCAAGATCTTTCCAAGATGTTTTCAAATCTTAAGGTTTTTCCATAGCATCTCGATTGAGATGCTTTAAAAATATCAAGATTGTTTAAAAGATCTCAAGACTTTTAAAGCAATCTTGAAAGGAAATGTTGAAAATTCCTTCCTACCCCCCCACCCACACACACACACACCTAATCAATGTTACATTTTGTTTATTCAGAAAGGCTCGGTAATAAACGGATGTCCTGTTGCATGGAAAACGAGAAGTTCTATTAATAAAGCATTGCAGTGCATTGCGCCATACAATCCACAGAATAAATACAGCCTTCTTTACTTTTCTCCAACTTGCCGCTCTATGGCCTAAATAGATATCTTTATTTGGGTAAAACTCGAGCCAGCTAGATACGTCCCTGGCTTCTTCCGTTGGCACACAGACAGGACGGGTACGGCAGTTTGTTTCTTGCGCACGGCATGTTGCACGAGTTACGGTGACGCAGCTTTTCCGATGCGACTTTGAACCTTTTATTTTTCAATGTCTGCACGTGTCATGTGTGACTTCAGATGTTAACGCAACCTATTGGGAACTATCCACAGTTTTGTTCGATATTTTCTTGCAATTGATAATAGTATTTTCAGATGTAAAGGCTAAGGTAGATGTTATGGACCTTATTACATGCTTTATCGCATGTATCAGATGTGTAAGCAATGGGACCAGGCACTTCGGCCGAAAAAGTGAATTTCCTGAGTTGTCCAATTCCCCTCTGTTGCCATCCTTATACTTCCAAATTCACGCCTTCCTGAAAAAATACAGTCATGTTAATGTTAACTTTTATTAATCTTTAAACGGTAAGTCAACATTTACAGACCGACGCAGCAGTCCCTTCCTTCCGACCTCCCCCCTTTGCCTATGACATGACCATATTTACCACCGGACCAGTAGGCACGTGTCGCCTGTCATAGGTTCTCATTTTACCTGCTCAAACAAACTCCGCTTACGACGGAAATATCGCTTGTTGACATTTCTCATACTCTATACATGTATTACGAAAACAACGTATAGTGCAAAGGGAACACATGCTTTCTGGTGTTTCCATAGTTGACGAGAGTCCGTTTCAATGATATAAAAGTTCTCAGAAGAAGATGGCGTGACATCTTCATCGGATAAGATTGCCAATTAGTTGTCAAACAATTTTTCGAGTCTGAACTTCATTCAAGTTTTGCGGACTTGTACCGTATCCTGGATGCTGACTGGATCTATGATTTCGCCGGTGAACAGAGACCTGCCTCGCCGCAAGATGCTGCTATTTCAACGCCTGTCCGAGGTTGTTGTTGTGTTGGTACTTTGTATTCTTCCTAACCAAGCTGTTCTGGGAACTAACAAACGCTTTACTTTCGCCCTGGTGTTTCCCAAGGACACGGAACTGGAGGCGGTGACAAAAGTCGCCGTGGACAACATAAACTACGGGCCGGGATCCCTCCCCAACATCAGCTTCAACTACGAGTACCGCAGCAGCAGCATAGACGGGAAGTGCGACGCCTTCTACGGCATGACGTCGTTTTTCAGCATCTTCCTGGGTCCCTCCCAGACATCGACGGTCGGGCTTATCGGAGTGAAGTGTGAGGACATGTGTAAGGTCATGCCTGAGACCATGACGCGACTGAAGATCCCGTTCATTTCTCCCTTCTGTTCGAGTCCCCCCGAACTGTCCGACAAGACGAAGTACCAAACGTTCGCGCGGACGACGTGGCCGCCCAACAAGACCACGGCCATCTACACCCAGGTGGTCACGCACTTCGGCTGGACCAAAGTGGCGGTCATCGCCTCCCAGGAGGAGTCGTGGCAGCTGCTGGCAGGCCACCTGACCATTCAGCTGCCGGAGAGTGAAATTCAGCTGGTCAAGAGGATCAACGTGGCGCCAGGTGCGAGCAGAGAAACGCTGAAGGCGAAGCTGCGAGAAGCCGCGGCGCACTCTCAAAGTAAGAGTTGAGATTTCTAATACTTATCATACGTATTGCTGTAATAATGGAAATGTGTATATCTCCATCCTAACAATAATACAGCTCTAGCTACATTTACTAAATGACTAAGTGAGGATTTTTCTTTGATAATTTTTTCAAATAATGTTTCATGATCATTAACCCCCATTTGTACATTATGTAATCTCCAAGCAAATATTTCGTTGCTTACAAATATAGTATCAAATTGGCAAGGCAGTATCCATTTGCCTGGCAGTAACCATTTGCCAAAAAGTTACTAATATAAGAAAGAAAGCCCGATAAAAATGACTAAACAAGTCAACAATAAGCCCAAAGCCTAAACCTCTGCTTGAAGAGTATACATTATGTACTCACGACACAGAATAAATTTATTGTCCGCCACCCACCACCTGTTGGTTCCCATTGTAAAAGGGTGGCCTGACCAGCTCCACAGGAAACTCCTCCTTCAGCGAGGATGTAATGAGTCAGCTATTATTAATATCATACATGGCAGTACAAAGTTTAATATCAACTGTGTAATAACTGTGCGTTAGTGAGTCATCCGCGGTAGAACCAGTTATGAAAATAAGTGTTCAGTCATAAAGCGTGACACTTTGGCAATTTTGCGAGGTAGAAACGTCTGTCTCCATGCAACTATGGTGTTTAGGCAAATGATTGAAATATGTATTAAAGCAAACCCGCATAAATCTATAAATCTGTCATCATCAGGTTATGTCTTTGTAGTTATGTCGCAGTAATTATTGCATTGCTTGCTTCACTTTTTAAAATTTGTCACCCAGTATTAATTCTTCAGCCGTAAATATAGTTCCCAAAATGAAGATATCCAAACTTCTACCCCAGCCTCCACTAACCCCCCCCCCCACACACACACACACATACACACACACATACATTAAACCTCCCAATAACGTCCTCTAACGTTTACCTCCGTGCCCTGCACCAGTCATCATCCTATGCGTGTCGTCCCTGGTGCACCACGAGGAGAACGGCGGGGACGAGAGGCAGCTGATGCTGGCGGCGCACGAGCTCGGGATGACCGATGGCGCGTTCGTCTTCCTCACCCTGGAGAGGAAACCTATCACAGACCTGGCCCTGTTGGACAGGTAGCGCTTTTTTCTTTCATCCTACAGTTAGGATGAATTTTGTGTGACAGGACTAGTAACTGTCTTCAAAGCGATGTAGTATTATGCGTGTCTTAGCTTATGCCAGTATATAATAGCTTGGAAATATACAAAGACGAGTGATATCAAAGTCATGTAAAACACACAACGTTCTATGGAATAGATTTACACATTTTTACAGTAATAGCAGAGCAAAAGAACCGAGTACGTTATACACAGCTAATGACAGAAGACTGAAAAATTGCAAGGCAGTTATGAGTCGTCCAAATAGAGTCAGTTTTATACTTTTTTCAATGTATCCAGTGCAGTTTTTAGGGCTTGGAAACCAGATTTTTCAAAGTGAATATTCTAGTCACTTATCTACATACTAAGTTGAAACAACACTGTCCCAATGCAAATTGACATTCATGGTGCAAAAATGCCCAGAGTTCTGACGAAAAACGGTTACTGGAAGGACCTTGATTTTTAGGGTACCACCTAGAAAATAAAGGACAGATCTTGGGCCGGGCTTTTTTCTTCAGTTCTAAATGCTTTAAGTATGAAATACCGATTCAGATGTGCTAATGTGGGATAGTATGTGTCAATATCATACAGATTGCCTTATTTAGAATATTTTCAGTTTTGCTGCCCTGAAATTGCATTGGATGCCTTTAAGGAAAAGATATTCTTATATTTGATACATCACGTTTGACGTCCCTCAGGGCGTGGAGGATGAATGACACAGAAGACGGAAAAGCGCGGGAAGCCTACGTGTCCGTCATGAGGCTATGCTGGACACTGGCCATCGGCTGTGACCTCAGCGAGTTCCAAAAAAGGGTCAACGACAAGATGCCTACATCTGAAGTTCACCTTCCCAGGAAAGGGGACGACAACGAGTTTAAAACCGTTGAGGTAAGGTGGCCACCCCGCTTTGCATTAGTATTTGTTAATCTGTAAATGGCGCATGTTTAAAGGCATCCAATGCAGTTTTTAGGGGTTGGAAACCCGATTTTTCAAATCCAATACATGTATTCTAGTTACTTATCTGATTTGAAACCACACTGTTTCAATGTATATTGACCCTCATGGAGCAACAAAATCCAAAAATTCTGACGGAAAATGGTCACTGGAAGGGCCCTGTGCTGATTTTTAAGATACCACCCAGAAAACAAAGGACTCATCTTGGGGCTTGTTTCTGCAGTTTTTAATGCCCAAAGTGCTGACACAAATGTGCTAATGTGAAGCAGTTTGTGTCAATATCAGAAAGATTGCCTTGTTCAGCACATTTCCAGTTGTGCTGCCCTAGGCCTGAAATCGCATTCGATACATTTAGAAGCCTCCATTTGTACTTCCATACTGTACTATTGGTCAGACTGCAAGACTCTTCAAAACCCAGAAATGTGTAGAGTGTTTACTCTAATTCTAACATGGACATTCGTTGTTGTTTTAACGATTCTCTTTAGGACGTAGAGAGGCTGGTGGAGATGTCGAACCTGTACAACGCCGTGCAGTTACTGTACCAGTCCTTACTCAGAACGTTCGCCCCCACACTCATCCACACCGACGGGAGGGACGTCAGGGCTGACGAAGGCTCTGGGGTTCTTCCAGGTAGGAACTTTAGGCTATATCATAACAAGGACATTGAACTGATAGAGTTGAGACAAATTTATTCATAGAAAATTTAGCCTTTTGATAAGTTTATTTTCTGATGTGTATCATAACTATTCTGACGTGTATCGCTGTTTCACGCTACGGTAGCAACTCAAATGATGTACTGTGTATTGTTCTCTTGTCTCTTTTCCTTACTATAGGAATTCCAGATGAATTACCGGACCCAAATGAAATCCAGATTAGTAAGAACATGCGGAACATGAGTTTTATAGGTAGGTCTCTTCTTATCACATCATTCATATGTGCATAATTTTGCAAGACTTTCGTGAATTTTATGAACATGCTTAATGTATGTTGATGTAAGAATGCAATGATGCAATGTGAGGACCAGCAAAGTCAATGAAGCAATGTTGGATGATATGACTGCAAAAGCTACGGGCAATGAGTTAACATCCACTTAATTTCTCATAAAACACAGGTTTCTGCAATGAGACAGTCTACATGGACGAGGATGGCGACAGAGTTGCTGACTACGCCCTGTTTCACCACAGTGTTAAACAGGTCCGCATGATCGCGCAGTACAACAAGACAGCCAGGCAGTTCCACAGTCTGGTGGGCGGGTCCTACCACAACTGGCCCGGGGGAGTCTGGCCTCCGAAGGACGGTACGGGTCTTTGTCACGTCACTGTTTATGGAAAACCCGGGAAACGTCACACAGCTAAAGGGCCCTGGCCTTGGTGCTGAACACACAATTCACATAGTTGAACAGACCTGCCCTTGGTGCTGAACACACCATTCACACAGCTGAAGGGACCTGTATTTTATGCTGAACACACCATTCACATAATTGAAGGACCCTGTCCCTGGTGCTGAACACACCATTCACACAGTTGAAGGGCCCTGTCCCTGGTGCTGAACACACCATTCACATAGTTGAAGGGACCTGTCCTTGGTGCTGAACACACCATTCACACAGTTGAAGGACCCTGTCCTTGGTGCTGAACACACAATTCACACAGTTGAAGGACCCTGTCCTGGGTGCTGAACACACCATTCACACAGTTGAAGGGACCTGTCCTTGGTGCTGAACACACAATTCACACAGTTGAAGGACCCTGTCCTGGGTGCTGAACACACAATTCACACAGTTGAAGGACCCTGTCCTGGGTGCTGAACACACCATTCACATAGTTGAAGGGACCCTGTCCTTGGTGCTGAACACACCATTCACACAGTTGAAGGACCCTGTCCTTGGTGCTGAACACACAATTCACACAGCTGAAGGGCCCTGTCCTTGGTGCTGAACACACCATTCACACAGTTGAAGGGTCCTGTCCTTGGTTCTGAACACAGCATTAACATAGTTGAACACAACGTTGCTAAAGACGCTTACGCCCGGGCGTAAACGTAACACCATGAAGATACATGTTCATGGGGAACAAAAAGGGAGAAGAAAGGGTGGAAAGAAGTTCGGGATAGCAGGAGAGAGAGAGAGAGCTAGAGAGAGAGACGCTTTTGAACTAGTTAATGTCAGGCTATATGGACATGTATTTTGTACCAGATTTTGGTAAATGATATTCACATTTCAATAGCATGAACCACCAAGCGAGAAAGGATACGTAATTACTGCATATGTTAGTATAAAGCCTGAGTATACGTGTGCATACATCCCTCCACAGAACTCCCCGCTCAGAGCGCCGCCATCGACTCCAGCACCATCGTGGCCGCCACCACTACATCACTGCTGGTCGTCACCCTGGCAGCCTTCGCCGTGTTCTTCATTATCAGGTTTGCCGATGTTTTTGGTGTCTGTAGTTCCAGAGCAAGCCGCTAGGGGGCCCAAACTCATGTCACTTCTTTCCCACCTCAAGAACTACTTATCATTCAAATTTCGTGTCCTTAGCATGTCTTGATCATGAGATATCAAAACCGGAAGTTCCGCCGCAGTACCATATCAAGCCGCCAGTGGGCCAAAAATATAACTCATTTTGACTAATGTTCCGCCTCATAAGTTCGTTTCCATCCAGAACAGTTAAAACATTTACAAATTTGAATATTTATTGTCTTTACCTACTAACATGGATGGGTACTGATGTGGGCAGTTGAATCACTTCTTCTTTCATCACAAAAACCTTAATTTAGGAAGAAAATGGTGAAAAAGGAAGTTTGGCAGATGATGTGGAAGATTAACTACGAAGAGTTGACCTTCATCGACTCCAGTCGGAATCGGCACGCGCACGTAACACGGCGAAAGGTGAGGGTTATAATTACACCACAACAGAACACTTCACCATCACGTGTTCCACAAATATTTACCTATGGTGAGTCTGAGTTATAACCGGAGTGGCACATGATGTTTGTCCATGACGTGTTATAACTGATGACTTATGAAGCTTAAGGGCGGCAAGCAAAAACATATATTTCCAGACAGCTTTATAATCGAGCTATTGTTGCCATGAATTCGTTCAGAAAATTCTAGGTGTGATTGATTGTTGGGTTATAGTTAATAAAATTGAAACAGTGAAGAATTACGGAAAATTCTAATTAAAGGCTGACGCGGCGACGGTTTAAAGCCAATGCTCGACCAACAGTTTTTGGCGACGCCTCAGGGGCGGAGATTAGTTAGACTGCCAACTTGACCTTAACGTCAGTCTGCGGTTACAAAATCTCCCCTTCCTGCCACTCAGATTTGATGCATTCAGATAACTACGAACACACAAACAAACACAAACTTAACCAAAACAATATGTATGTATACCCGAAGACAATAGACAGAAGATCAGAAAAAAAGAATACAAAATCTTTTTTTTCTTCAAGAAATACAATGAAAAGTGTATGCCATGTCTGTCCGTTCCGCAGTACGGTTCCCGGCGGATGTCCCACACGTCCCGCACGTCCCGCTCCAGTAAGTCGACGTCCGCCGACCCGTTCTGTTCCTCCTTCTCTAACGACCTGGAGATGGTCGAACTGCTGCACGACAAGAAGAAGGTCAACGCCGCTCACCACAAGGTCAGGAGCAACCAATCAAAACCTTTCTCATCACGCGATATCACGTAATAACAAGTTACAGCTATCATGTAAGTTCATCTGTGTTGGTAGTTGGTAGCTTTCGACCAGTCACTCTGGTCTTCTTCAATAGACTGACCCAGTGAGGCTTGTCACGTGGCTTCTTTGAAGTGTGGCATCAACACTGGGTCAAAGGTATCTGGTAGACGATGTCGGCTCCCGTCGCGATCGAAAGCTCTAGGTGAGAGATCTTAATTGTGTTGGATCTAAAGTTTTCACTTTAAACAAGCTACAGACCTTTTTGCAGCTTTTCTGAGATTTATCCTTTTTTTAAATTTTTACCTTTATCATATTTTTCAGAACTCCATGGTCGCGGTGAAGCATGTCCCTCCTGATGAGTTTGAGCTGACTCCTGCTCGACTCTATGAACTGTTCCAGGTATTAAGCTGATTCCTGGTCAGAATCGTACATTTTAAAACAGGCTGACAAGTTGTCCATAAAGATATCGTACACCAGTTGCTACATAAGATGATCTAATCAAATTGATATATGATAAGACAGAAAATGTACATGTAATTTTTGACAAGATGAGATCTGGAGAGAATGTACCCTGAATCCACATGCTTTTGTCTTCACAGATGAGTAAGATTCGTCATGAAAACCTGACTCCGTTCGTTGGAGCATGCGTGGACGCGCCGAATATCTGCACCGTTATGGAGCTGTGTACCAGAGGGAGCTTACAGGTAACACCGCCACCCCCTCCGTAAACTTCGTGGTCAAGTGGTGCTAGACTACACCTCAGCACTATCTTTGTCTCTAATATCTTGTCACCTGTACTTTTTCCTCGAGCTTACATAGATTAATGCGTAACCTCAACTTAACTGTCCTTCAAATTTACGGCATATAATGTAAATGTAAGCCTACTTAAAACTTGCAGATATGTTTTGCATTGCAGCAAAGAACCCTCTTTGTTTTAAAGAATAAATCATGTCGTTTTCTCATCTTATAACAGGACATTCTGCATAATGACGACATCAAGCTGAACTGGACTTTCAAGTCTTCATTCATCACAGACATTGTGAAGGTCTGAAAAGTCGTTAATAGATCCTCTCTGTGGTCAAAACAGTGATCTGCCATTTTCTGAAGTGATCTGCCATTTTCTAAAAGTTGTACATGTTGAGAGATGAAGTATTCACTTTAGTTTAGATGATGATGAAAATTTGAACAGATGCTGAGTGACGAGAGGCTCTTTTTGCACAACAAAGTGTCTTATTAACAGCCGACGTTTCGATGACCGTCTGTCACCTTCCTCAGGGCAATTCCTACAGTTGGTTCACATTGCACTGCAGCACTGCTATGGATGCATTCCCAAGCGTACAATATTTACATATCTGCATATACCAACCTGATGAAACTATATTCACGGATGAACAAAATGAATGTTTGACGTGTACGCTGTCGCCTCCCCCCAGGGCATGGACTTCCTCCACCGCAGCGCGCTGGTGTCTCACGGGAACCTGAAGTCCTCCCACTGCGTCATCGACTCCCGCTGGATGCTGAAAATCACCGACTACGGAGAGATGTCGGCAGGCTCGGGGGTCCGGGCACGGGCCAGGGGGGAATACGCAGGTATGTAATGGACGAGTTCGTGAATTTAAGTATTAAATGGCAGTAAGGCCATACCAATACGCTGTAAGCGGTTTCGATCCAATTTCCACCTAAGCCGGATTCAAGTGACCCCATCTGAACGCTCCAAATCGATTGAAAGCGCCTCGATCCCAAACGACCTTGGGAGGTAGTTTAGAACCAGTTCTACCGGATCTCGATTTGCATCTGAACGCAATGTGATTCCAATGTGACTTCACCGGTTTACTTTACATATTGACCCGGTCACGGATTACGGGGTTATACTTCTTTATCTATATGCAATATCAAAATATACGTGGCATGAACTTTAAGAGCAGTAATCAACGAATAATGTGCCCATTCTAGCCGAATCGCGGTTCAGGCGTCGCAGTGTGAACAAGGCCTAACATGCCAAGTTGCCTGATCAACTTTCTGTACTTCATCAGTGCATATCTTTTCCTTGCTGTAGCGCCATCTTGATGAGTTACAAGCTTACGATGATTCCATGGAAGTCATCTGCTGGCTTTGCGTTCTTATTTTCAGCCATGTTGTGGACGGCTCCTGAACACTTACGGGAGCCCGTGGAGACTGCCAGCAAGAAGGGCAGTCAGAAGGGTGACGTGTACAGCTTCGGGATCATCCTGCAGGAGATATTTGTCCGCGGTGCGCCGTACTGTATGATGTCACTCATGTCGCCACAAGGTACACTGTAGTTTATTTAATTCATTGCTCATGCAATAATCGTAAATAGGACTGCATACGAAACTGATGATATACCCACTTTCGGTACGGATTTTCCAGTTCTTCAATTAATTATGTTTACCAAAGAAAATGTATTGTTTTTGCTCTGTTTCCTCTTCTTCTTCACCTTGTCCAAACAAATAAGGTCAATGACCTGAACCAGACGTCTGTCACCATGGTTACTAGTGTTGGGTTACATCATGTTGCAATTTTATCGCAGGAGGGATTTAGGCTCCTCTCTGACCATATATATGAATGTATTTGAATGAGATTTAACAGAGCAGACCATATGCGAAAGTAAACATTTGCTTTGCAAATGTTACCTTTCTAGTTTTGACATGATTCAACTCTGTTGCTCCTTCAGATATCATAGAGCGGGTGAAAGCTCGGACGAGTCCACTGTTCCGGCCGTGGGTGAGGGACGCGATGGTGCCGCGGCAGTACATCTCCCTGATGGAGCAGAGCTGGGAGGAGGACCCGGAGGCGCGCCCGGAGTTCTCTCTGATTGACACCGCCATCGGACAGCTCAACAAGGGCCAGTAAGTAACAGAGATGAGGCCAAAAGTCGACTCATATACTCATATATTGTGCATGATAATCTCTTCCTATGTGTCACTATGACTCTCTGGTTTCCTAATGTCTGACAAAATGGTAATGAATTTACAAAAGAAAGAATATTATCATGAAAGTTCATCTGTGTTGGTAGCTACATGTTTAAAAGGTTAAAACTTTAGATACAACACAAAGAAGTTCTCTCGCCTAGAGCTTTTGACCAGTCACTCTGGTCTTCCTCAGTAGTCTACCAGATTTAACCCAGTGTTGACGTCACACTTCAAGCCTCACTGGGTCAGTCTACTGAGGAAGACCAGAGTGGCTGAACGAAAGCTCTAGGCGAGAGAACCGTTCTTTGTGTTGGATCTAAAATTTCAACTTTAATCAAGAAAGAATATTGTTTGAACCTTTAAGGAGGTTATCCTCTGTAATCCGCGTTGAATTTGTGTTCGATCTTATGCAGACGCAGTAACATCGTTGACCACATGTTCTCGATGCTGGAGTCGTACACTAACAACCTGGAGGACCTGGTGCACAGACGGACGGAGGAGCTGCGAGCAGAGAAACACAAAACTGACCTCATCCTCTACAGGATGCTTCCAAAGTAATCCCCAACGCCTTTCTGTCTGTCGTTGCACTGTAAATGAACCACGCATTTCCCCACTATATTCATATTCATTACATTCATGTTAAAGGCATCCAGTGCAATTTCAGGGCGGCAAAACTAGAATATTCTGAATCATTCAATCTATATGATATTGACATATACTGCACTACATTAGCACATTTTGCATTTAGTATTCCATACTTTGAGCATTTAAAACAGTACAGAAAGAAATCCCAAGATGTCTCCTTTATTTTGTGGGTGGCACCCCAAAAATAAGCCCTGGATCCTACCAGAAGCCGTTTTATGTCACAATTTTAGGCATTTTTGCTCCATGAATGTCAGTACATATTCGGGAAGTGTTGTTTCAACTCAGTATGTAGATAAGAATAGTGACTAGAATATTTACTTGGAAAATATTTGTTTCTCAAGCCCTAAAAACTGCACTATGAATCAAGTTGCTAGCAGAAACGTTATCCAAGTCTGTTGTACTGTTTCTGTCCAGGGGAGTGGCTGATAATTTGAAAGCCGGCCTGCCCGTGAACGCCGAGGCGTTCGAGACGGTCACCATCTGTCACTGTAACGTCATCAACCTGTCCTCTATCTGCTCCGAGCTGCAGGCCATGGAGGTCAGCTATCATCTTACTTCCATTGATGAAATGAAGAAACGTCGTGTTCATTGCTCCATTCACATAAGATGTTTTTAGCACATCACTTATATAGTCATTCTGTTCGTCGTGAAGAAATCCACGATTTCACGAATCCATCCTGTCTTTCCAGGTGATAGACCTGATGAATGACCTGTACAACAGTTTTGATGAGGTGTTTGAACGCTATGACGTGACCCAGGTTGGTAGAAACAATTACACATTTTTTCTTAGTTTGTGTCATTTTTTAAAAAATCTTTATCTTTCTATCTTATCAATCTTATTTGCACTTGGTGTTTCTTTCTCACCAAATGTGCCGTACTGCATATGCCATTGTTGTAGCATGGTATAAAAACTGAGAAACTTACATTTGCAAAGAATAAAGAAGAAAATGTAGTATTGTGCGTATTTTCCCAGCTGGACAGCGTGGCTGATGCCAGTACGATGGTAGTGTCCGGCCTCCCTGTACGCAATGGGAACAGACATGCCGGTCAGATCGCCACCATGGCCCTGGACCTGGTCAGCACGGTCTGCGGCTTCAGAAGCAGGTTCCTCGGGGACAGGGCGCTGCAGGTCCGCCTGGGGATGCACACGGGTAAGCCTGGACTGAAGCTAAGTTTTCGTGGTCAGCCAGTAGAACCGCCAATCAGCGTAACAGACCAGCTTCGCAGGCGCGCAAGGGTTATAACTGATTGGTTGTACACAGTGAACAACTTGTCACACCTAAAACATTCAAACAGTCAAATCTAGACTTTTATTGATTTCAGTCTTATGAATTCGTTGGACCTCCAATCGCGACACTCCAACCCAAATTCCTACAAGACTCTACCATTTCATAAACACTGCTGCAGATACTTCTCAGTCAGTTTTTCCTCAGACAGGTTTTCCTCAGACAGTCAGTGACTGGAACGCGCTTCCTCAGGACATTTCTGAAATCACAAAACCTGACAACTTCAATTAAGGAAGCCGTACTCCAGCATCTGAGGAAACAATAACGACGCAGCGCACTCCCCAAACAGAGGGGTGTTGCACAGTATTTTTTTCAAGAACAAGAACCTCTTCGAATTCCCTATGAGTTAAGTTGTTAAATATCTTTTCCCCAGGCCCAGTTGTAGCGGGCGTGGTGGGGTTCAACATGCCGCGTTACTCGGTGTTCGGCGACACCGTCAGCGTGGCACTAACGATGGAGACAACCGGAGAAGGTAAGCAGGGAATGGCACAACCATTGAGAGCCTTGGTTCTGCTGTATATGTGCCATAGCTGTGCGCTCTCTTTTTAAGCTGGTTGCAAGGCCACCAGATGATGAATACTGCATTTTCGTGGAGAGGTTAAATCCCTTACCTCAGATCGTCTCTAAAAGAGGATTATTATCTGTTATGTTTCACTACCTGTACGGCATTAAATCCCCGGGTACTCTTGTAATAGCCTGGGTACCATCCGAATTTTCGGTCCGCAACGCTCGAAAAAATCACGAGCGTTGCGGAGCGAAAATCCGGATGGTACCCAGGCTACTCTTGTGATTACCAGATGACGTCAACACGTCCCATTTTCTCCATTATCACACGTAAGCAGCTTTCCCCGCCGCTCTAACACTCTTATTGACCGGCCTTTAGAAAGACTCGCACCTTATATGAAAGGGCGGCTTATGTGGGCATCTCTCTCTTTCAGGTGAAAATCCAACGTTGTTGATTTTGGATGTACAAAAGTGTACAAAATAGAACCTTTCAGTGATATTTTGATGCGGAGTTATCTTGACGACAACACGCAAACATCTATAGAAGTGTAGTGGACCAGGCATTCCAACAATGTAGATAAAACTTAAGAAGGGGAGCACCTTCTTGCTGATGTCTTAAAATAACGCCTGTCCATCTTATGGTGTTTGCTACATTTTTGCTGCGTCCTTGGTAATTCTCTCGGGCATTCTATCTTATTCTAGGCATGAAGATTCAGGCTAGTGAGGACTGTGCCAATATTCTACTGGGCATAGGAGGGTTCCGCATGGTCAAACGTGGGGATGTTGATATCAAGGTGATAAAGTTGTTACATCGTTAGTTTCTTTTCCACTTTTATCGCATACAGTGTAATAATTTCGTGATCTCTATAATTTAAAAATGAGTAAATATCTTGCCAATAACAGTAATATTTTAATTTCCGCCGACGCTTTCTTTAAAAAAAAAACACAAAGATATTTTGGTACTGGTATCGTCTTAGTTTCTGACGATAATTTCATATTTTTTTTCTTTAGGAAGGAAAGTCCATCCAAACCTACTGGATTTACGGAAAGAATGGTTTTAACAAACCCTTACCGGAGGAGATAGTTCCAGAGTTAGAGTGTTAGACGTGAGGAGGGGATCAGAGCACTGACATAAAGGCAGCACAAATAGCACATAGTTATGTAGGATCCCATTGACGCCTTTCAAGTATGGGATATGGAGACAAGGAGAGATCTAACTTATAGCATACACTGCTGCTGCTATACAGCGCGGGGTTAGCACAAAAGGAGTTTCTCTCATCATTAGTTGTAGGATCTGGATGTCCTTTACCTCAATATGATTTAGCTTTAGCAATGTATTGAATAGGTTTTTAATGGAGTTAGTTTTCTGAATCAGGGAAAGGCAACTGTAATTGTGTGATACCTGCGCGATGAGATGATTCTTCTTTTCATATTTCAAATTCCATCACCTGGAGATACATTAGAACCAGCGCTATCACACACATATATATATATAGTATCTTAAGTACTTATATAGTATCGGCAAGGCCACACATACGATGCACCTACAGGACTTGCAGCACAGTGTTAACGAATGATGATAATTTCTTGCAGCAAATGAATGCTTCGTGGTTTCTTAAAAGTCAGCAAAGATGAATTCATATGCAATTTGAGCAACAAATCTCGATGTTTCAATTGTAGTAGAAACCATTCGGCGTACTTGTTGCTTCGTCGAATTTTTGTTTACCAGGAATCACAACTTTCTGCTGTTATGCACAAAAAAGTAGAAACGATCTTTAGAACCACGGGTGTTTGGTTAGCCCTGATACTGTTTTGAAAAGGGGGCCGAATGAACCCCTTTCAGGAATAACGGTTGTTCCAACTGTACATAATGAAGCTGTTTAATCATTATTGACAGGAGATATACACTATGAGTTAATTGATAATTCATACACATGTGTACAAAACTAATATATAATCTTTTATTACGAAACGCAAACAGCTGCTTTTGTTCTGCAACCAGTTATAAAACGTCTCAAAACGTCCTGATTTCACTACCCGATCTGCCAATTTTATTTACACAACTCAAAAACCCGTTTTGACAATGTGGTCCATAAGATAGGCTATCATTATTGAACGATATTGTACACAGAAATAAGCAAACAAACAAACTTCAGGCTGAGCCTGCTTAGTTACTTCGAAAACATACATGTACATAGACAGCCTTTAACCCTCTAGGAGGGGACGATAGCGTACAAGAAAATCAACCAATGCCAAGTTCTATGCGTCTGCAAGTCTACTTCTGTGTCGGCCCGCAAATCATGAAAAGCTGATAGAACACTCACAAAAAATGCTAACAGAAAATGTCATTCCTGCTGTTTTGAGGTTAAATGATGGACGGATTTATCACCTGTCGTATTTCCCTGAAAACTGTATGTAGTTGAGTACAGCGTCCTTTAGCTCTTGCAGGTTGTGCTTTAAAGATTTGAAGACCACAAATGTGACATTCACTGAGATGAGTTCATTGTATAATTTGTGCTTTTTGCTACTGAGGACAGGTCTATAGCAGGTCCATCCCGAGTCTTTTCTTGTTGGCCCAGACGTACTGGTCCAAGTAGTCACCTTCCCTGGGCCTCGCCCTGTCCGTGGTCAGCCTGACCAGATCGTTCCGCCCGTAGTCTACCGACAGGAGGGGAGGGGACGAGGCAGCGGCGGCGGCAGGTGCAACCGCCACCGAGGGACTGCCTGGTCGCTTCGGAGGTCGCGTTTTAGTGGGCTCTTTTTTCACGATGTGTGCATTTTGCGAGGCTGTAGCGGAGGAGGACGCCTCTGCCTCGGCTACCACGATGGTGATGCCGACAGGAGTGACTGTAACTAGCGTAGCGCCCGTGCCGAGACAGGAGTCCACGGGAGAGCAGAGCTTGTTCTGACAGAACTGCGAACACGACAGACAGTGAGGGCCGATGGATAAGAAGTACTTGACGTGACGTAACGAGCTGAGGCGCCACGTCAGCCAACCAGGTTTCCAGAGGAGCCAATAGAGGGCCACCACGGACGTGAGGCTTCCCATGGTGCCCACCACGCCAACTACTGCTGGGCTCAGTCCTTCCTCTGTCACCACGGCCGGGGGTGCAGTGGTCGCTGTAACACGATGTAAAAACAAATCATTTTGCTTATTACCAGAAACACGTTGGTTTCCTGTACTAGAACATCGTCTATCCTTGCTCAGTCACTGACAGACTTTTAAAAAACCGTAAGGCGTTTTTTTTTTCATACAGGGTAATCTGTCAGCAATGCCAATGGCAACACAAGGCACAAGAAACAGATAAATTTGGATAGAAACTGACCTAAAAGACCATGAAAATCATGAGCTTTTGATAGAAAACTCGCAGTGTACCGCGTTACAAGACATCAACTTACGGTTGCAGTTTGCAGGAGGCCCGAAGGACTGGTCCGACGCGTCCCCGCAGTTGTCGATGCCGGTCTGATCGCAGGTCAGGTCGTACGCGATACACCTGCTGTTGGTACACTGGAACAGGTTACCTCCAGTACAGGAGCCTGCGTCTGCAAGAAACATACTAGTATGACTATCATAACTTACACTTTACATTCAGCAAAACAAACATATCACAGACAGTTTCTTTTGCAGAGGACCTCTAGATCATTCTCCCATTTCGGAGCGCTTACTTTTTAGCCTGGGTACCATCCTGGTTAGTTTACGTTGATAGCTCAGGGGGTGGAGGTAAACTAACCAGGATGGTACCCAGGCTACTTACTTTGGGGCCAATATTCTACTTTGGATCCAGAAACCTTCACAGGACTTTATCCGATGATTATCTTCTCATATGGATGTTCGTACACAAGTATTGATCATTTGTCGACTGGATCAAACGTACAATTGATAATGGTGACTTGGATTATTCTTCCTTCCCTTGTAGTAGCAATATTACATATCAGCGCTCATCGAAGTACTACAGTAGATACATGACATACCTGTGTGGAAGGACGTGTAGTCTCCCACGAAGCTGACTTGCGCGGACGCGGCAGTGATGACCAGTCGCATCGTCAGGTTGCCGCCGGTCGTGACGACGCTCCCCGGGGTGCTGCTGCCGCACAGCGGCCCGGACAGGACCGACGCCGACGTGGACGAACTGTCGTAAAATGTCACATGGGCACCGATGTCGTCGCAGGCATCAGCCGCTGACTGGGTCGTCCCGACAGGGTTGGTAGAAGTTGTGGTGGTCAAAGAACTTGTTATCTCGAAGAATCTGAACTGGAACAGGATGTTTGTGTACGGCGAGGGCACCTGGAAGGTCAAACTGCAATCCAGCGGCGATGACGTGACGTAGTCGCTGACTGAGTCGTCATGAGACTCCACGATCTTGCCGTTGTCCTGGTCTGATGTGCCACATGAGTTCACCATGGATACTGCAGGAGGAAATATGTGTATGAGTTATATGGACCATGCTGCTAAAAGTAACCGTCTTTCACTCTCCGATACCGATCATTGCAGTTTTCCAATGTTTTCAATATTTCACCTCACGGTTTGTGAAATGATACTGGTCTACTTCTAAAATCTGATTGTCAAAATTTTGATTTTTCCCCGTACGGCCAAGCTTTGGAATTCCCTCCCTGACAAGTGTTTCCCACCAACTTACAATGTACAGGCTTTCAAATCAAACGCTCACCGCCATCTCTTGACATAGCCATGTTTCTTTCATATTTCTACTTCAATGCCGAGAAGTGGTCGTATAGACCTTGCATTGAACCACTCCGTTAAAAAAGGCTTGCTGTGTCATACAGACAACCCATATAACTACTGTAACATTGACACCGTTATCTACGACATACGTGAACCAAAGACACACTTTCGGGACGACCTCGCTGAGAAATCTTGTTGTCCTTACGGATTAGTACACTTGCCGTGTTGGCATGCCTTCCGATTTCCACCACATGGCACGCATGCACGTTTAGAACAATTTTCTGTTCGGATTAAGTACGAAAATATGTAAGGATGGCATGTCTGCTCTTTATATTCAAGTCAAAGTGTTATTCGTGGGAATGCTGTATGGTAGCTCCTTCCCCCGTACCAGGGTTCGTTCTCTGGACATGCATGTGTGACTGAAACGTGCGGTTGCTACAGTTGCATGACTTTGGCGGCAGATCAAGGCATCTGGTATTTTGTTAACTCGGAAGTACATAAAAACGGCATGTAGCACGAGGAATGGACATGGTCATCTGATAACTTTCAAACTGCAATATTAGTGTTCGTACTCAAGATTTAGATACTTGTGTCTTTTAAAATTCTCCTGATTCACAGTGCTATTATAGAAAAATACGAAAAACGCTATATATAGTGAGCTGGAATTGTTACTACACGTAGTACCCTTTTTCCTACACCATTTTCTTATCCATTAGCGCAGTGAGTACAAGGTTAGGACCGTTTTGGACCATTTGAGTCATTATTAGGCATCCGGTTTTACGCACCCAAAAGTCACTGATACAATCTGATACACTGAATGACATTTGCCCTCCAAACTGCTATAGACACAGTTTTTGGGGGTTTTTAAAGTGTGTTAATATGTGAGCTATAGCGTCTTGTACTAGTTCGAGAATGAAAAAGGCAAGAAAATCGCTCGCAAAATGAGTGGATTCAGAACACACTAGGTGCTAGACCCGGCAGCCAAGCCACAAAAACGTGTCGACCATGACGGAAAACTTCGCTACGGTTAGAAATGAACAGCTGATAACAAACGGGGACTTTCTGTGAGTTCAGCTGGGCAACAGTAGGCCGTGCGTGGTCCTGCTTTAAAACACAACTTTCCGTAGGAATAAAGTTAGATTTTTCACTTCTCTGTCTGTTCCTGACGAATTTTGAAATATAGATGACAGTAATGTCCTGTCAGCTTGATCAAAACACAAAATGATTGTGAGAATCGTGAAATGATACCAAACATTTCATTGCATGACAAACCGAAACATTGTAGTCGGACACAAAATCACATCATACAGATGGTTATATGGTTTGTTACGTGTATCAAATGCGGTCACTTACTCGTCGGGAGTCCCTGTCCTTGGCATAGCGACACCGAAAAGTAGAGGAAACAGAGAAGACCAAGGTTACGGGCACATGTCGGCCACGTCTGGCGACGTCCGTCGACCCTTGCGCAAACACGGCCCCTCCGCTCCGGTCCCATTGAGCCAGACATGACCGGCGCTAACCCATCGTACAGCCCGGGTACATGTTGTCCTACGCCGCTAGTACTCGAGTCTCTTGTGGTAAAGAAAAGCCGGTGACAGGAAGAAATATTGGCCTGTTCAGTCGGTTTGTTGGTTTTGTCCGCCGTCCTTTGTCGCTCAGTATTCCCCTCTCATTGAGCAGAAGTATGGCACTAATTGATATCACTTACACGACCAGCTACCTGATCCCCGGTGCCCAAACAAACGGGGGATTCCTACAGGGACTTGTGTGCGGATTTTCTGGGATGTTTGCGGGTCATTCACTGACACTCAAGCGTGTGACATGCACGTGTTTTCTCTCAGGGGACGGCGTTTTGGCTACGAATGCTTCCCTACCTGAAGTGTGGAAAGCTTAAGAAAAACAGAGGAATACAAGAATCGTCTCCTTTCTTCAACCAGCGACACCGCTCGATTTCACTTTCCTCGCTGTCTAATTGTTAGTTTAAGTCTGCCGTCGTCCTTTTCAACAGTTCTGCTTAAACCTTATAGTTCCAACCTTTTAGCGAGTACTTAAAAACTCGGCTCCGCGGAAGTTGTTTGGTAGTTTCCAGGGCGTCTGTCGTCTCCATGGACATAATCCCCGCGCTTGGTGACAGCAGAAGAAAAGACGGATTTCTGCCAATGTAACCAGGCAGGATTACGGCCTGATGCTTGAGGGCCGCTGTAAGGGATCATGATTTTACCCGAGGCAGGGTTAATGTGTTTGCGACGAGCCTGCCACTCCAGAGTAAGTGTTTGTGCCGAGGGCTTTGTCAGGACTGATCAGCTTAAACTTGTTTTCAACATTCATACGGTCTGCAAAGGTTGCTGGTTCTCAGTGTGGCAATGCGACCTTCCTTTGACCGAATGACATAAACGTGCAAATACAAGCTCAGTACGTTGAATTGACTGCGTCTGTGTTCGATTTCAAGCTTCATAGTGTTCAGCATGCGGTTTCGTTGGCGAAACAAATTTACAGTATCGTACTGACAGTCCGGTGCACCCTCTCGATCTCCCAAATGGCGCTAAGACCACAAGAGTTCACGAGACGAGAGTTAGAGACACCGATGACGTCACCGTCAGTGGATGTCGTCAAATTTTAGACAACACTTCAAGATTAGGACGTCATTTTTTTCACCTCCATGGACATACACAAAGGGTGTGCAACTTCATGTATCCACGATTATCAAGGTATGAGTCACAGCAAATCAAATTAAAGATCAACAATAAATATGTCCATGATTTCAAGTATCGTTCTCATAAAATTCTTGTTTAGGCACATGTGTGACCGACATGGTTTTTTTTTGGTCATAAAGATCCACTCTGATCCACAAAGATCCATATAGATTAGCTGACATCGACAATTGTTTGATTGGAATACACCTGAGTGATGTGACTGTTTTGAAGATATGAGGTGGGGTGGGGAGGGGGTAGTCACAACTTGCCGAGCTCGCCATGTGGGGCACCTGAATGGGTTTAGCCTGGTTACCAGACCTATTATAGCTCCCCGAGTCCTATTTGCGGAGAGGATGTAGGACTCGGTAGCTATAATAGGTCTGGTAACCAGGCTAGAATGGGTTAGCATTCATACTAGCCCGTGTTTTGCCACCTACGATGTCACCAGTCACTCACTATTAACAATACGCGGACACGACAGAAGAAGATGATCCTCCCATCTAACTGTGGAACATTCAGACCAAATTTGAATACTGTGTTGGTCACCGTTGGCTGGTTCAGTAGGAGGGCGTGTCGGGGGGTTGTTTGTATGACTTTGTCGTGCAAAAGAAACAATCCCAACCGTCCAATTTGCAAGGAACGATCGCACAAACTCATCATTACCGTCGACGTTCTTTAAAAATAACACAAGTAACAGATATGGAGCCACGCGTAAATGCATATATCAATGCCTTTGATTTTCGTAGTGATACACATATGTACGTAATAACCCAAACAACTGCCAGAATTGATACACACAATTTCTACCAACATTTTCTGGTCGATGTTTTCAAATTTAAAGGAGTTGGAAGTAGAAATTGATGTATGCGAAATATTTCACATCATGGAACTGTTGCCTAATACATATTAATAAAATGTATTGTGGTTTAAGTAACTGAGTAACTAACTAACTATTGGGATGTTTGGATAACAATAAACGTCTACAATTGGTTCTCTTGTTAGACCATGTGTTCTTAACAACAGAGATGCTGGTCTTACACGAAACCAGAAATGAAATCTTAGCCGTCCTTCCAAAATGGGGGAGAATATCTGTCTTGTTCTCGTTTGCTACATTTCTCAAGTGTCCGCTAGTGCGCCATTTAAGCTAGCTTTACGGGATTACACACGACCCGTCCCGTCTTCCCCCAATACAGGGTCTTCCCACAATCCTATTAAGATCTGATCCCCATTCAGACTGCAGAAGAAAGCTGGACCCGGAGTGTCCCGTAGAATACCACTCCTGGTATTACCGGGAGGTAAGACGAATTTTGGCGGACAAATACCCACATCAGACGACTTTGAACCTTCGGAGTTGAAGAAACACCAAGTTTTATACTGGGCAAGTGACTGAGAACCTCTAGGTGTTGGGACAGAAAACAGACGTTCTTTTCTGACATGCTTGGTCACTAGCAGGGGAAGATGTCGTCTGACGGAACCTACAAGATAACTGTCGTCTGGTGCATTCTGCTGATGTCGGTTGGCGTCGGACATGGCATCGACAGCGGTAAGTACGTTGCCGCAGTGTCATAATGTCATTTTTTATGTGTACATTGCCAAGTAGTTTTAGCAAACCAGAGCAAAAACAACATACATAAAGAAAAAGATGAAATGAAATAACATTTTTACTTTGTTAAAGGGCAATAAAACGAAATACAGTACTACACGGTGTCGATTTTGTCCAACACAAAAAAATTCTCCAACATAGAGCTTTCGACCAGTGACTCTGGTCTTCCTCTCAGTAGACTGCTCTAGGTGAGAGAATTTTTTTGTGTTAGACCAAAAGTTTTAACTTTAAACATGTAACTACCAACACATATGAACTTTCATGATAGTACCTCAATATTGTTAGTAAGATTGATATATATTTCATATCAACCAGTGGGCCTCCTGAGTGACGTGGGATGCGGCACAACTGACCTCCCCAGCCCCGGGAAGATTCTGAACTCGTACGAGCCCCTGAACGTCACCCGTCTGTACGGGACGGTCTCCACCTGCAGCTTCACCATGCAGGCGGAGACGGACGATCAGCTCCTCCGCTTCGTCTTCCGGTCCTTCTCGGCAAGTCCCGGCGACTGTTCGCTCACGTTCGCCAAGGTCAGTGATAATGCTACATCATACAGGAACAACTGCACAATACAAGCCGCCAGGGGGCTCAAAATCTAATCATCAACACCTACCCACCTACCAAGTTTCATGACAATCCTCCCTACGCTATATGTAGGCCAATGGCCAAAAGATATTTGGGCCAATGTCATTAATTATTCTACGAAAGTTTAAGGCATCCAATGCAATTTCAGGGCGGCAAAACTGGAAATACTCTAAATAAGGCAATCTGTATGATATTGACACATGCTGTTCCACATTAGCACATTTGAATCAGTATTTCAAACTTAAGGCATTCAAAACTAGTCCCAAGATTAGTCCTTTATTTTCTGGGTGGTACCCTTAAAATCGACCCAGGTCTTTGCAGTAACCGTTTTTCGTCAGCATTTTGGGCATTTTTGCTCCATGAATGTCGATATACATTGGGATAGTGTTATTTCAACTTAGCATGTAGATAGACTAGAATATATACTTTGAAATACCTGGTTTCCAAGCCCTAAAAACTACACTGGATGCAAAAAGGGCCGTGAATCATTTCAAACATGTTATGTTCATCCATCCTCTTAGCTGTACGACGGAAACAGTAACGCCGGGACAGAACTGGCGAACGTGTGCCAGGAGTCAGCCATGGAGACGGAGTACGTGTCTACAGGGAACTACATGTTACTGGTGGTGTCACTCCTGGACAACTCTACCTTCATCAACTTCACGGCAGACTACACCGCATTCAAGGAGGGTAGGTGGAGTAGTCTCCAGTAGAGTGACCTTTAGTTTCTGTTCTGAATTGTTGTTCAATGCTTGGTTTGTGTGTGGGGTCGTGTGGCGTATCTTATCGGCAGAGTGCTTGACTCTGAACTAAAAGGTCCCAGGTTCGAGTCCTGACATGCCACCGATCTTGTGGCCCTTGGAAAAGGCACTTTACACGACTTTAATTTCTTCACTTTAACTCAAGTGAAAATGAGTATGGTCCTGTCCTGTTTTTGTCTGCTGCGTTGGCCGCGGCATAAAATATGTTGAAAAAAACTTCTTGAATGTGCCGTCACCATGTCCAGTCATGAAATGTTGAAATATATATAAAAATGATTTTTTTTGTTGAATGGAAACGTTCTCCCCGTTGCAGAGACGTGTGCGGACGAGGAGTCGCAGTTCCAGTGCAGTAACGGCCGGTGCATCTCCCGGTCCCTCCGCTGTGACGACGTGGACAACTGCGGGGACTCCTCGGACGGGTCGCAAGGACCGCCTGCCAACTGTGGCTCGGGTGAGTAGATGTCGACATCGAGCTCCGGACGGCTTTTGACCAACGTAACGTCCTAGGACAAAACAAAAACATCCTAAGACTCGACTTAAACTGCTTCTGATTGCATGATTTGCAAGATTTTGAACACATATTTAAGGAAAATTAAGGGAGCATGAGGGGTCAGTTTTCGGTCACTTGTCTCTACAAGATACAACACTTTGTCCCGGAAAGGTTCGACAATATGTCACTAAACGCACAGATATAGTTTATAGAAAATGTCTATTAGAGATGATCCACGATGTGGCTTATGACGACCCAATATATTGGTGATTCCTGCTTTGTCCAGACGACGAAGAGACGACGACAACTGGCCCTGACCTGACGGGTGTGTACGCGGCCTGCGGACTGGTCGGCGCCCTGCTGATGTCGTACCTGACGTACTGGTGCTTCTGGAAGCCGGGCTGGGCCCAGTGGAGGTTCGGCATCTGTCGGTACATCAAGAACTGCACACGGATGAAACCCGAGGGCTCAAACCAGACCGGTTCAGACAGTTCCAAGGTCTCTCCCAAGGACACAAGCCGGAAAAGCAAGAACGGAACAACTACGGAGGACAAGCCCGCGCCCATACCCTTCGGTACGTCCTCCCAAAATACA